ATGCCATGAGCGTGACTTAGGAGAAAAAGCTCTTGAAGCTCATGAAAGTTAACCATTTTACCAAAAAACTGCAGCGCTTTTGTTTACGTTCACGTCGTACGTCGAGCAGAGCTTTAGTTTTTATTTTCCCGCCTTTTCCTTGCCGTGAACGAGCTATTCTGTCCCAGTCTCTACGCGGTACAATCCGTCGTCGTCGTCCGCTTCGTCGTCGCTGCTTAAGGTCCCTATTAAGGGCCAGATTACCCCAGAAAGTTAATATTCTAAAGCTAAGAACAGTTGTTTTACTGCTATAAAGAACCTCGATTAAAAATTTCGAGAAAAGAAAGATCTAATCGGAGACTTTCGGTACTTGGAAGTATTGGAAGGATTCCCGAATTATTCGACAAAAAATTGGAACAAAGAACCGTCGAGTTTAGCTCTTTTTTACGGCGCTGGATCCGACCGAATATTGGGGAATGGTAAGGGAGTGGGTGTACCTGTTTTTACAAACCGTAAAATAAAAACCACCAAAAAGCGAAACACGCCAGAGTGACCGTTAGTTAAAGGGCAACATTGTATATTAGGTCGGCAAGGCTTTCATCAGATTTTCTCCGCGTCGCTTCGTACGGTCTCAGTAGAAATCCTAAATATGAGACCGGAAACAATTCTCACTGAATATGGATAAAAGCGAGTATACTTCAGTCTTACCTGAGACGCATTTGTCGTCCGGTGACACTGCCGTTCCGGCCTGTAATTTGGGCAATCAGCTTGTAATCACAATCAAGAATGTCATGTACATCTACCTTTTGGCTAGCATGCACTGAGTATAGACTAGTCCCTTATCTCCCTTTATGTGAACAACACTAGGTTTAACATACATAACGCCACAAAGTTCACTACACTCAGTACCTTTCACGGACATTACTCTTTTCAGCGGCGGGAATAATCCAGGTAAGCCCTTCTGTACTGCCCTTTGAAGTTTTCCTCCAGCATAATTAGGCTACGATCGGTACGTGCACAATCACATCTGTGTTTGTTCCTGCAATGATCCTCTACTTTTCATATGCGGGTAGAATTAAACAGAGGATTCTTTCATGTAGAAAATTTGTAATCATGTTTGGTTCGAGCGACCTGTTCATCGAACAATTGCTTGCACTTGCTGAGTGTCGGCTGCATAAGTTTAGCTTCAGGGCATGGCAGAAATACTGCATCCTTTCCTTACCAGGTTTAGACAGATTCTCCGAGGGAATATTGATCAATACTTCTTCGAAAAAGAATGCTTTCGTTCGAATTTTTACTCCGACTATCCGCCATTTTGAAACTGGACTTTTTAAAAAGTCCGGGAAAATCCGGCAGTGCCATTCCCCCCCCCCTCCCGCGGTATGAAATTAGGCAATAACTCGATTGGAAACGCTTGCTACGCAGGCTAGGAATAAATAAGCACGAGTAATTCTTTCAAAGACCAACAAAAGTGCACAAGCCCGTAGGGCGAGTGCACTTTGTGGTCTTTAAAAAATTTACAAGTGCTTATTTATTCCAAATTGCACGAGAAAAATCATGTGATTACTTATTAATAATATACACGAAAAACATAACTACAACAACAAATTTTGACAGCGCGCGTTTTTAGTTCATTCAACTGATTGGCTGAAACAGACTACTTCCTTTGTCAAGTTCAAACTTTTTCAAGACCAACGCTTTCAAAATCATTCATCTAAGGACTTGGAAATGTGCAAGGATTTTTTTATATGGTCACCAGCCTGCTGAGAACAACTTGGTTTACAATAATCAGCAAAAGTAAGTGTTTTTTAAATTCATCCTCGATTATGAGAGCTCGGCGTTTACAAGAAGCGTTTCCAAGAAGTATACTGCCGTTTTGAAATCAGGAGAACGCTTCGAGCAGGCAAAGATGAAAGACGACTGTACATCATTGTCTGTTCTTGCTATTTCCTTCAACTTTCAAGTGAAACGTGACGGCCGTGAGTCAAACAGAGCGACCAATCTCAGCCCCCCACCCAGACTAAAAATGACAGACATAAAACAAAACCAACAAACAACAAAGAAGAGTAAAGTCTCTATAATACTACCCCCCCCCCCACCCAAATGAAAAAGTTTAGCCTGTTGGGGAAAGGTTGAAAACGCGATTTTTTTTTACAGACTGGAAAAAATAAAACACCCCAAAAAAAAAAAAAATCCCCCCCTACAAAAAGTCCAGTCTAGTCCAGAGTCCAGTCCTGATTTTCCAACTGGCCGATAAAAACGCCCCAATACGTACTACGCGTGTGCGTTCCCACAAGTCACCTTGGATTACAGTCGATTTAAAAAAACTCATGCACAGCATTGCTATTATGAATATAAAAGCTATTAACTCCAATGATCCGCACGATTGGGCACGCTTTAAAAGAATGCGTAACAAAGTCAATGTTACGATCCGACAGGCTAAAGAATTATTTTTACCAAAATAAATTCAGCGAATCTGACGGCGATCCTTGCACGAACCAATTGCTATATAGAAATAGCTTCTGCTACAGCGGGGCTGTTCTGTGGAACAATTTGCCCACTGATGTAAGAAAAGCAAAATCTTTGACTGGCTTTCGGAAACTGTTAACTGTTATCTCGAACACGGCATTCATGGAAAACAGGCTTTAATTTTATAAATTAATTTTATTTATTTATTAATTTTAACATTCACCTTTCTAAATGCATGCTATTACCGTTGATTCTATATAGTTTGTAAACATTTTTAGGATATTGTATATTGTATATTTAGCCTGATTGTTTTTACCGTGTATAAATAAAAGTGAGGATGAGGATGATGATGATTCCGTTCAGAAAGTTAGCCAAAGACAGAGTGACTTTGAGACGAGATATACACGATATATATGTTTTTATTATCGTTATTTATACCAAGACAGAATACGTACAAAAGGCTCAGGGTCTCAATTGGACCAGTTGACCCTATGCACCAGTAGTAAACACAGACTTATTGAGTCAAATGGACAAGAACTCGAAATTATTTTATGGCCCCTTTTCGTGTGTCTTGTGTTGCGTCTGAAATCTTCAATTAGTGAAAAGCACATTCATAATTCTGAATTAAAGTTCATTTGTTTCAAAATCAAGATTTGCAGTTGTTGTCTGGTATAATAATCGATTCTACTTTCGTAACCTGCGTACGTTTACTTTTCACTTATTGCCTATATTTTATTTGCGCAAGTACACACTTAAAAATTAAACTTAGCGCTACGTCTTTGGAGACCCTCTAGCAAAGAACAAAAAAAAAATATTAGGTAATTTTCTGCCAGAGCAAAGTCTAACTTTTTCTTTGTCACTAATAGAACTAAGGAAAGAAGATGTCCTACTTTCCCTGATTATATACGAAGCTCGATACCTTGGTTGAGCCCAGCAAACACACAAAAACAAAACAGTGATGGCATTCTGATCATCAAAGTTACTTGATTGTACCTTTAGTCAAGTCTTTTTTCGGGCGGAAGTTTTCCGCTAGTGTTTCTCCTCCTTGGACCATTGACCCTCATTGCGAATGTAAAACTGAAATGCTGCTCGTAAACCAGACTCCAAGGCACCCTGAATCCACCCCGAGGCAAACGAGAGACCCTCTCCAGCAAAGAAGATGTTTGCCATTGGGTATTTCAGGAGGTAGCGAACGTTTTGGTACTGAGTGGGTTTGAGCAGGGCATATGCTCCTTGAGCCGTTGACAGGTTGTACCACGCGCAGACGGCTCCCGTTTCAACTTGCTGTTTGATTTGTGGGTGGATTGTGGCTATTTGCTCTACTGCCTCGTGCAACGCAGTGGTGGGATCGAGGGAACCAAAGAGTTGGGCTTCTGTCTTCCACGTGTAAACTAACAGGATGCCCTTTTCCCCGGGATGTTCTCCTTTGACGTTAGTTGGATAATGCAGCTGCCCGATGGGAAGATTTGTTTTTGAGAACCCTCCTTTAATTCCCTCCTTCTCCCAGAATCTTGTCTTCGTCTGTATGAATAGTTTGGTTGCTGGGCCAGTAAAGATGCCTTCTATAGCCTTATGAAAGGACTGTGGGGGAGATTGAGTAGCAGTATCACTGGGTGTATACTTAATCTGTCTAAGGATGTTGATTGGAGTTGCGACTATAATAGCATCTCCTTCGACCTGAAAAGGCTGTCTGCTATTGCTGAAGTAGCCTTTTACCACCACATGATTCTTATCAGGCTCTTCCAAATGAAAGGTGTAGTTAATCTCTCTGACTGTGCGATTGAACTCGATTTTTTGGTAAAGGTGGACCTTTGAATTCCAGCCTCCCTTATTTGGTTCGGTGAAGGCCTCTGGTAACAAAGACATCCCACCTTGAATGCAGTGCATATTCGATGTAAACCATTTTCCCAGTTGATCCCGGAGGTATTGTACAAGGCTTTGATCAAGCTGCTCTGTGTAGCTAAAGACGCTGTAGGCAGTAATGGCAGCATCAGGCCAAGGTAGGTACTTCTTAAGCTCTTGAAGGCTATTCACCGAGATTTTACTGGATTTGGTCTTGAATTTTGTTACGACGGCCTCATAACTACTTTTAAGGAAGCCATCAAGAGCGAACTGACTCCAGATGTCAATCCATTCAGCCCAGGCTTCGCATGAGTTAACCTCACGACTGTTAAGTAAGTCAAGCAGCTGGTCTGTTACAACTTTAGTGGTGCAATCATAATAATCATCTGCGGTTAGAGAAGATGAAATTTAAGTTAAAAGAACCTTTAATCTAACACAGTTATGTCAGTCCAATTGATTTTCAACGAAAAAGGTAATTATTCTAATATTGACGAGTTGACAAAAAAGGATAGAAAAAATTGCCGGTCGGGATTCTCAGTTCAATGCATCGGCTATGCTACGGTACTGAAAAAGCGGCCAGTTCGACATTTTGCTTATGACATTTACAATCCTGCTTTTAAATAATTTCCACACTGTAAATTCCTCTTCAGACCTCTCACGTTCTATATGCTCGTTCTATACTATAATGGGCTGCGTAATTACGCAAGATTTCTTATTTTGACACCAAATTCAAAGAGGACCTGTGGTGGAAAGGGTGAACACAACAGTCGGAGATCTGCAAGAGCTTTCTAAGGGGCTAGAAAACTGTACACTGCCAGTTGCTGCAGAGCGCATAAATGAAGCGCGGCAAAACGGAACTTTGCAACCACTTATAGTCAACTACGATGTTTTCAACTTACTGATACTTTTGATGTCTTCCACTCCATTTTCTTTTAGGGTATCATTCCATCCAGGCCAAAGTTTGTCGAAAGTTGCGTCATCCCATTCTGTTGAAAAGACGAATTGAGAATTACCTCAAAACGTTTCATCGCAACGATATAATTTAATCCGTGTTCAGCAAAATTGTTAGTGCCTAGAATGGATATCCCGTAATGAGGTTGGATACCTCAACGCAATACTCTATAGTAAAGAACTGTTGGAAATTTACATTAGAAAAGTTTGAAAACCAGATAGAGCCAGTTGTGCAAAGAAAAGAGTTGTCTGAGATAACCTATGAATTACAGTGATCAGGGCTAAACTCTATTTTAAAATGCGGCTGGCTTTAATGCCATGTGACGTTATCCGAAGTAGGTCTAAAAAAACCGGTATCAGCAGTTAGCCCTTGATGGTGTAGGGGAAACGGATGTGAACTATAATTCAAATGAGGTTGGCTCAGGTCTTACGAGATGAAGCTGTTGACAAATTGTTTGCAGCTTCGTCTGTTTGATTCTAAGAGGTAAGAAATTTCATGTTCTCGTCGGGCATATATACAGATATAAACCTGTCTCATTGATTTTATCTTCGATTCTGCTGATATGACTATTAATAGACCAAATCTCTTCACCGCCTCTTGTGAACTGTCCAAACTCTAGGCGGTCAGGTTAGAAAAAAAAACTGTTTCTTCCTGGCTGTTGGCAGAGAGACGTCTGCTTGTATGGCTTCCGTTCAGCCGCGCTCGTGTCACTTGGTTCGTTCAATAAGGCCTTCACCTGAGTTAACTCGTTGATCAGGTCTGCAAATGGATCGATTTCTCTCTGCTCCAGGAAAAATGCTCCCATCCTCTATAAGGAACTCTGGCGGCGAAGGACTTCTTAACCCTATTCAGACCGGGCTTTGATTTGCGCTTCCAGCGACCGGAGAGGGGCGGCTTCGAATGCCCCCTTCTATACATGTAACTTCAAAACAGCTCATGATACGGCAACCAACATAGAAAAATGTACTCATTATGTCCATCATCTAGGCATAACCTGATTGCTACAATTACGTAATTTAACGTCATTTTGATGTCATATTAATTTATTGGGGAAATCCAAATTCCCTGAAAGTTTCCATAAAGCGAAAAATACTTGAATTAAGTAACGTGTCTAACAAAATCAAGTAGTTGGCTAACCCATCTTAAAATAATCATTAACAGCAGCAGTGTTGTCAGGATGACTTCATTTATTATTGAAGACGGAACTGAAACCATCTATCATCTTGGAATAAATGTATTTAATTTTACTTAAAACCGGTATAAATCGAGGCAATCGTGATAGAAAATTTGATCTGTGTATAAAAGGATGCTTAGCAAGCAAAAAAACTCTGAAAGTTATGAAATTCCGAGAGAAATGAACACTGTTGAAACTACTGAATTGAAACCAGCATCTGGCATTTGGCCATTTTCAAATTAGTCTCCGAAAGGCCTGGTTTACATTTGCAGCAAATTTGAAAGAGTAATACTAAATTAAGTGTAATATAATAATAAAATATGTAAATTAAAGATAGAAATAAAACGTTTTGTACAAAAAAATTGCAAATTTTAAAAAACATCGCTGTCAAAACTCGATTGCCATGGTAACGTTTATGTCGACGTACACGTCACGTCAACTTGAAAATGTTTCCGGGTTAGACTCGGTACATTTGAAATCAAGTTGGCCGCCCGTAACGCAAAACGCTCGATCTTGACGATCTTACAAAAAATACGTGGGGGACTGTGAACAGTCTGAACACCTAAAGGAAACAAAGACTAAACTAGGCTACGATTGCTCGGAATAAGTTACCTTATTCTCACTTACTTTCGCGGGTATTAAATTTCGTGAAAAATCATGAGCCATATTTCGAGAGAATTAAATTTCCCGATTTTTAGGGAAAGTTAGAATTGGAGTGTATTAAATTTCGCGATTTTTCTCTTCTTTAATTATGTAAAGGTAGCTTTGACCTCAGAACAGTAACAAGAGAATCAACAGTTTGATCGTAAACAACTGCAATTACAAACAAACGAAGTTTAACATAAAGCACAAGTTTTTCAACAGTCTAAATAAGTACCTGCAAATAGTTACGTAGTGAACTCTGATAAACTTCTTTCTTTTATGTTCTGTCAGACATGATATGGAGAACCGGAGGGCATTTTGTTTGCGCATGCGTCATTCTGGTCTGTTGAAGACAGACAGAGGCATTTTCTGTGAATTGACCACTACAGAAAATACCATAATATACCATAATGCTCGTTGTTTTTCACCCCAAAATTTTGCATAAGCATTGTTCTCAGTTTTTCTTGGGGCCATTTTAACTCCCAAGAGAAACTGAAGACAATAATGCGTGTACCTTAGTGCCAACCGTTTTTCGATGGCATGGGAAAATGGAATTCAAATTCCATTTCCATTTTTTTTCTCGTTTTCGCATGACATTGAAAAACAGATTTGAATTTGCTTTTTGTTTTTCGTTTTCGCATCACTTTGAAAAACGGATATAAATTTTGCTTTTCTTTTTTTATTTTCGCATCACTTTGAAAGACGGGTTTTGTATGACTTGTTAGAGTCTTGTTATGAACTTATGATGTAGTTGTATCGTGGAAATGACGACAAGAAAGACACTTGTAATAATTGAGTCATTCTACAAAAAACTCCAGAAGACTGCAAAATTTGATTTGTAGTTTTTTGTTATCTCGCATTTTGTGACTTCAAGTTGTAAAGTCTTCAAATATTCGTCATTTTCCTTTTCCATCGAGGGTATACAAGTGTTGCGATAGCTGCTCCGAAATCAACGTGTTTTTTTCGCGGCTATCATCATATTATTTGTCATACACCGTATTCACAAATGGCGGACACGCGGGAAAAAACTGGTGCCTAGTCATGAAAGCGAGGCGTTAGAGGATAAACAAAAATTGCAAATGAAGACTTACAGTGAACTTGCAGAGTGTTTAGCACGGATTCCACCTAAAATAACTTTTTACGGACTTCTTTTTAAATACAATTTACGTGGGATGTCTTCTGCTTTTAATGTTTAGTAGCTATTTGCTGTTTGCAATCAAAAGGGACGCGTATATCTTCAGGAAACAGGATGATTTTGTAGGTTTCCGAAGCATGAGAAGCTCTAAGACTAGGCGATCGCTGGAAAAAAGCGGCAAACATGTTGGCCCAAACTTCACACTGAAACCGAATACGAAAGCCAGATCACTACAATTCTGTATTTTATCAAATTAATTCCGTCGCTTTGGAAGGAATTGTTAGAGGTACGTTGGCAGAGCTTAGCAAAAATCTCATGATTTCTTTGTCATTGCGAAGTAATTAAAAATAATTTTATCAAAATTAGAAGCTGTACTGTGTGAATCTTATGGCTTGCTATTTGCCTTGTTTCTTTTAGGGCATTATGTCAGAGAGCTACTGGTAAAAAAGTGGTATAAAGTAAAGCTTACATTTTACTAGGTTAAAATTTTAAGGCAATGTTTTTGTCAGGACTGAACACGGCAAGCTTCTGTTTCGAATAATTGAATTCGAGTCTGGATCAGTTTAAGAAGACCATCATTTTATTTATTTATGTATTCTTCAACTTTAAAATATTATGGAACATAAAGTTAAAACTCTTAACAGCCAAAGGTAAGAAATACGAAATTACTCGCTGAAATGAAATGTGGCCAGCTTACCGAGTCTGCCGAGTAGCAAGTTGAAATTTTGAGCGTACTCCTCTTAGTCGCTCCTGCACATTAAAAATAAATTACCGAAAAACCGCTTGAAAAAAAGGTCAACCCCGCTGTTTTATTGATGTCCTTCATTGATAAAGACCAGAGAATAACGTCCTGGCGAACAAAAACCAAACATAACTTCATCGAAACCTCAGTCACCTCTTCTTTCCTGTCTTCCTTTTTTCCATCTCGACTTGAACTGTTTTGTTCAACGGCAGACGTCTCTTGCGTTAACAGTTGCAAGTTGGCCATACATCTGTCGCTTATTTCTTTTTTTCTTGCCACCAAGATCTGTTTATATTTCTGTTTCACCGAATTGCAGTGAGCTGGTTTTCGTAGTCGGTTTCAATGTGAAGTTTGGGTCAAAATGGCTTTTCTCCAGCCATCGTCCACTTGTCGAGCTTCTGATGCTTCGTAAACCTTAAAAATCATTCTGTTTCCTTGAAGATATACGCGTCCCTTTTGGTTGCAAACAGCAAATCGCTACTAAACATTAAAAGCAGAAGACATCCCACGTAATTGTATTTAAAAAGAAGTCCATATAAAGTCATTTTAGGTGGAATCCGTGCTAAACACTCTGCAAGTTCAATGAAAGCCTTCATTTGCAATTTTTGTTTATCCTCCAACGCCTCGCTTTCATGACTAGGCACCAGTTTTTTCCCGCGTGTCCGCCATTTGTGAATACGGTGTATTGCTTGTTAAAAAAGGAGTACGGTGTGTGTGGGCATATCATGCGGGCGGGGGAGTTCACCACTCACTTTGGCCCCAGGGAGGAGAAAATTCAGTTGCTTTCCTTTGCATAAAAAGTGAATTCCCCGGTCAACCCCGAGGGGGTGTCCTGGGACTTCAAATGACTGGTGCAGTAATCCGTTTTACAGGAGTCGTGCAATAACGACAAACGAAATTCAGATCCGTTTATTTAAGTGATGTGAAAACAAAAAAACGAAATTCAAATCCGTTTTTCAAAGTGATACGAAAACGAAAAACGAAAAACGAAGTTCAAATGCGTTTTTCAACGTTAGGCGAAAACGAAAAACAAATAGCAAAATTCAAATCTGTTTTTTAATGTCATGCGAAAACGAAAAACGAAAAATGGAAGTGGAATTTGAATTCCATTTTCCCATGCCATCGAAAAACGGTTGGCACTAAGGTACACGCATTGACAATGCTTATGCAAAATTTTGGGGAGACAAATAAAGAGCATTATGGTATGTTATGGTATTTCTGGAGTGGTCAATTGTTTACGTTCACTACCAGCATTTGCAGGCTGTTTTCTGGAGCTGACTGACTTATATTGGGTGCTACGTGCCACAAACGTGTTCTTTAAGGTATCGAGGCATTTCTACGATGAAAGTGAATTTATTGTGGCCTCGCTGTCGCCCTTGAGAGGACAGTCTTTCCTTTCGTGAAACAGTACATCGAAGACAAGATGGCGGCTGAATGCCGTTACGACCTAACATTTCGCGGACACTTTTTTTGAGAAGCCGGAAAAGGTCAGAAAGATATTTTTCGTCAAACAATTATTCTATAGATAATTAATTCCTCAACAGTATAACTCTAAAATCAAACTTAATCGTTTCAGGAATACAGTGGTTAATTAAGTGTCCATATTGCCGTGAGACTGCATTTTCACCCTTTCGCTGTCTTGTTTATCTCGAAATCTTGCCTTTCTCCTCACATTTAGTTAATGATTAATGAAACCAAGAATAACTCCGCGAATGAATGGTGCTTTGGTGAAGGATGTGAAAAATCGCTTTCTGCAGTAATTTCAGCTTTCTTCACAGGAACGTCTTCGTTGAGAAATAAAATGCCCGCACTTCAACTATAAATTTAATTCAATATAATGATGCCAGAAAGATTGTGTTTTGAAAATGAGAAAACTCTTTTATTTAGTTATACACAGAAGAAAAAATTACCGCAATCGGTTTGAATTCTGATTTTTTCCACCTTATTTTGAAGGTATACACTGTTTGTTTACATTTCATTATGCAAATAAATATAACATTTTGGCGTTTTAAAGAAAATCTAGCCTAACTCCCCAACCCCAAAAATAGCACGAAATGAAACGTTATCAATACGCCTTTTAAATAAATCCTGGCTTTTGTTGCAAAAAATGCATTTATTCCTAAATAATACCATTTTGTGGATACTACATTTGCTGATATGCTAATTTGTGAAACATTTCAGTCACAAAGGATGTTGACTGAGACCAGCTTCTCCTCTGTATTTAACCACATTCTTCTTTAATGCATCAGTATCTGCTTGCTAATTCTTCCCCCGTACAACTTACATAAGGGGTTCTTCTTCTGAATACAGTAAAAACCTCCCAAAAGAAACATTAATAACAGACAAATTCACCTATCCATTTGTGTCATGTTTGTTGTCGCATCCCAACTCATTTGGGTCCTTTAGTAGTAGTATTTCTTTTTGAGGAAACAGCATTATATCGGCATCCTTCTAATAAACTTCCTGCCTTATGTTTTAACAGGCTTTGAAGGTGAACAAACATTGTCAGCTAGATTTATGCAGTGATGGCCATTCTCTATTTTGAATGGATCACTACTGTCATTAAATACATAAATCAACGATAAGAATTTGATTGTAGAACACAGGAGCTGTTAATCAAGAGTCGCTTCAAAATAGTAGATTAGGAGAAATTTCTGTATCTTTTAGAGTTAAAGAAAAAAAAAAGGCAGTGTTCGTTTTTTCGTGGTGCATTTGTTTTGTCTGCAAGTGAAATGAAATGCTCAAGAAATTATGTAGTACATAATCACTTGTAATTGTTGCTGTCCTGTAGACTCAATCCATTCTTCGATCATTTCCTGTAGAATATATTTTATATTTTTTTCATTGAAAACTTTCGAAAAACTGAACCATAGATTTCATGTTTTTGTGTCATATGTAAACGAGTGTCTCCGCGATCAGTTTAACATGAGACAACGTGGTTTTTCTGCTTTCCTTAAGGAGCTAAACATTGCTCCGATGCATTTCTTCTTTGATAAGAAAAACCATGAGTTTGGAAATCAAACCATAGAAATGCATCGCTTTGCCAGTGAAAATCAGATTTATACAGGAACAGTGACTTTTGGCGTTGAGCCTTTTAAGTCTTTAAAAGGTCAAGAAAACCTACTCCTGAAAAATCTAACCTGCGTAGAAAACGTCCGATTTTTTGTCATGGGGAAAATTTTTTGTAGGAAAGTACGGTATTCAAAGCACCAACGAGATTACTCTTAAAAGGACGACTGTAACTTCACGCGAGTTCTCGTTCAGTGGATGCACGCATGCGCACGCAAAATGCCCTCCTGTTGATATGGAGGTCCTTATTCTGTCCATATTATGGATATTTATGTCTGATATTAAATTGTCGCAAAATTTAATAATCGCAAAATTAAGTGAAATAAGGTAATTAAGAGGTAATCGAACCGAGTAAAGGAAAGTTAAGTAGATGTAAGAAATTACGGTTGACATTCAAGCGTAAAGAACAACATCAACTAAGAAGTCTGTACTCATTTACAAACAGCTATAACTTAACAAGAAAAAGGTAGGCATGTGGAATTGCCATTCTCGCATGTCAACTGCTGATGCCGAAGGCCACAGGAAGGTGTTTTACATCGTAACATAAAAAAGTGGTTTTAAATTACGTCGGATTGTGCGTACCTTTCCTTCGAACAGCCTTTTCGTTGTAAAACTTGAGATAAGTATCTTCACTGTAGTTAGAAAAATGTGCCAGGGTTAGTTTAAACCGCTCCGAAGCGTAAAAATCTGTCAGGAAGTGCGTCTTGTTCTCCGCATCAGGTTCACATGGCAGCCTCATGGCACCAGCTGTGTCAAAGCATGAAAGAACGAAGATCAAGAAGTCAGTTTTGCTAAACACTTTACTTGAGCATAACTATTCTAGAGTTGTTTTTTAACTCCCCTTAACCCTTGCTATAATTGGTCGCCCCTCGATGTCCATTTAACTCTGGATTTAAGACTGACGAGCAAATGCCTGAAAAGTACTTAACAAATACCGCAGTAAACAAAAGACTTTTTTTCCGATTGGAAAATCAAGGTTAGATTTTGAGAATCCCAGTACGAAATGCGCAATCACGCGCACTCTAAAAAATTATTTCATACTTTCATTCAACCGAGCCTCTCGACCTCGCTTTCATCCTCGTCCCCAGAACCCGTCGTTGCTTAGTCACGTGGTTTTGTTCGTTACAAATTAAGCCGAGTGGCTCTGGGAACGAGAATGCCTCGCTTTCAAACTAACGACCGCGAGACTTCTCAAAGTTTTCATTCAAAGAGCCCAGGTCCAAACAAGCTACAAAAATCTTTAATTTGAGATTTTTTTATTATAAATCTAGACAACCATGAAAACATATTTGCATAGAAATTTCAAATAGTGCCCAAAAAATGAACCAGAAGGGACAGATACGCATGAAATATTAAAAGCATCGATCGGCATTGATTCCGCATTATTATTTTGAATTAATGTTATGAAAGAGCAAACACAAAAAAATAAGCATAGAATATATTTCTTAAATATTTGTATTCAAAAAACCCATTAGTTTATCCTTCTAAGAACTTCGCGTAGCACTTAACACTAGATTGTGCACGTGGTTAAATCCAAAACAAAATCCATCTCTAATCGGAGTGCATTTTCCAATTTTTCTAAAAGCAGGGCTTGCGCTCCGCCACAGTTTACTGAACATTGAATCTATAATTTTCTCAAAGTTACTGCGTGAAATTGAAGCGGCAGCCATTTGTTTTGTTATGGAACGTGGGAACAGAAAAAGTCAGCAAAGCTCCAGAGTACGCGTGCCTGCATAGATAGAACTGGTTTATCCAGTATGAAACTTGTCTGACTCATCCAAATCGCGGGATGATCCACAAATCAAAAAAGGTTGAAGATGTCGGCAGAGTCATTTCCTCTTTCCCGACTTATCTAGGAAAGATCGAAGCGACTCTGTTAGCAGGGTAGGCAAGGGTGTAGTTAAAGTAAAATTCTAGAGGTAATTACTTTCGCAGACCCCAAGCATTCTGATTGGCTGACGTACTCGCTATCTAGTATATGAGCTTATCAAGACAGCAAGTAAATAGAGCCAATCAGAAACGCGAAAATAAAGCTACTCACCTATCAGAAAACCGAAAACCATTCATTGACAAAATATTTCCGCTGTTTTCCTGCTGACTGCCTCTTTAAACTGCTTTTTGCTTTTGCTTTTGTTTTTGTTTGTCTCTTTTTAATGGATAACTACATTGGCTACCGAAGAAAAACTTTCTCAGTCTTATCAGCCTTATGATGAGGATCAAACACGTCAAACAAAAGCCGAAGCTGCGGCATCGTTCGGAAAGGCAAAATAAGTGTAAGTTTGTTTTCGTATCTCGCACCGTTCAGACATTTTAGGATGTTACTATCAAAGTAAAAACTGTGGGGAACTCGTATGCATTTTGGGATAAAATAAAGTATGTTTTGTAAGTTGAAATGATCATGTGCCTATCAAATCACCTTTCGTATATTCACGAGTTCATTTTCTTAAAATAACCACTCCGGAGTTCAGCTTTTGTAATCTAACTACGTTAGTTTTTGTTACTCGTTTTTAGTATTATACTAAAAATGCGTGCTGTCTTTTGGCGTGTTTTTCGTTTCTAGTGCGTAAAGTAAGATATACAGGCGCGCGAAACCGAGGTTTTCTGCCTTTTTTCGCCTCCCTTATTTTTGACTCAGTTCAGCTTTCGCGTAACCTGAGATCAGGCTCTATTTTCTTTTTCATTCGGTAAATAAAATTTCGATGCTCGGCACGTTAAAAAGAGAGAATGAAAGCTGCTAAAATTTGGCCTAATCTCAGGTTACTTTCCCGCGGCTGTATCTACTTTACGAACCACAAATAAAGAACACGCCAAAAAAAAAAACTGCATGCTACGCAGGCTACTTCCGAAGCAACCGACTTTTGTGCTACATTTCTATAATGAAAACAGCTGATGGAAGATACAGACGGTTGTATTGGTAAGTAGTAAGATAAAAATATGTTCTACTCCAACCCAAAAATCCTTTTTTCTATCATTTTTCTGTCTTTTTTTTTTTCTGTCATACCAATTTTAAACACTAGTACTTTAACTTTCTGATTATTTCCGTCACACTCCCACCGTCATTATCCCAAATTTTAATTTTAGAAAAAAAATTTTGCAATGATGATGATAAAGGGAAAATGACAGAAGAAATCCTAATGTAAAAAAATCTAGTAATACAATCTAGAAGACCTCGTAGCTTCGCTGATTTGAGAAAAAGCCAGAAAAATGATAGAAGAAAGTATTTTGGGGTCAGAGTAGAACATACATTTATCTAAGTATTCTTTAACACTTCACAATTACACAAATATGTACACTGAAAATTACACGGATGTGTATTTTCAAAGTGACGTCTTCGATTGGATAAAAGACAACACGTGAAATATAAGGAAATCCTCTGCCATACTGTTTAGACTTTGTCGAATATTTAATGATTTTAGGGATTTTTTAGTGAAATGGAGACTATATCTCAGACGCAAAAGAAATACGCAAAATTATGACTCAAAAGGAGACTAAATACCGCAAATGCGTAATAAAGATTTTGCGTTATTATTGATTGGTTCAGAAAAAATGAAAAATGAATTAGATGGAGTAGGAAAATTGAAATTGATATTTAAAAAAAATAATTTTAGGAATAAAAGAAATGTCTTTCCAATCAAATAACCAAATCAGATTGACTTTTGACTCTGTCACTTTTGATAGTTACGACTCTTATGTCACATATCAAAACATTGAAAAGTTTACAGAGGATTTACTTGATCTAATCAAATATAAAGGTCTAGACAATGAATCAACCATACAACAGTTGAACTTCATTTTAGACCAACTTGATATATTAGATCCAATCGAGACAGAGGAAGAATATAATGAAGCAATTGATGAAGTATTTCCATCAGTTATTGGATTGGTTTATTATTTGTCAGAATGTCCATATTATTCACGAAATGAAAACATAAAAAAAGAGTTAAATAAGATTGTGAATGTTTCTTACGGTAATATGCATAATTTTGAATAAAATCCGGCCCCTTGTCTTATGTCTTGTGGGCTTCGTTTATCTCGCTCGATCTAACTTTTAATACTTTCGAGTATTAAAAGAAATATATCTAGCCGAATTTTTGAAAACACCTCAAAACGGACCAGAATATTCGCACAGGAACCTGGCGATAGCCAGGGTTCTGGTCACTGCGGTGAGAAAAGACATGGGGCTTGCTGTCCTGGTTGGTCTCATTGTCAAGCTCAGTCCCCGAGCTAACCCGCCATGGGTTGGGAAGGGGCCTCCATGTCAATCCTTAGTGGGGGAGGGTGTTGCAAAAGCGTGGTACTGTCCGTTAGTCGTGCTCTGGGATAGTCAGTGCACTCGTCATGTCTGCCTTTAGTTTGTCATGTCAAATTCCCCTCAAGCATTCCCCTCAAGCACGTGCTAGGCTGGAGGGGGGTGATTTAACCTTGAATTCTCTGCTTAGAACTTGGTTAAGTTTCAAGCATCCTCTGTCATCTAGAGCCTTCAAGCAGCTTGAGTGTATGGCCAAAGTCTAGAGTGTCTTTTTGATGGACTTGAATGTTTCTTTTGCTTATCAGGAACCAAGGAGAGAGTCACCTTAAGAGAACCATGGGTAAGAGCTGAGTTTCTTGACAATATTTGCTTTAGTTGAGTCAGTTTAAGGTGTGTGGCCTCCAGGAGCCCGCTGGTGCGGTTTTCATAAATCCGGCTAGATATGCATTAAGTAAAATGGGTGAGTCCACGATAGAAAATGTTGCGTTTAAAAGTTTTGAAGAATGGTATGATTATGATGATGCTAATGAATTAGTAGATGATTTATTGGAAATGTTTTACGAAGACAAAGAAAAAATCAACAAAAAAATTGATTATACTTTAGAAAAAGCTTTAATGCTGTAATCAATTTCCGTCAAACGACATGTTTTTGACTTAAGAGATGGTTAAGATAAAATTATTGAAGATACTATGGAAGAATTATTAAAAGTTTTTTCATCAGTGAACGAATTGAGTAATAAATTAAGTGATAAAATTTTTTTAGAAAAAAAGATTGATAGTTGAATACTACAATAAATTAGTTGATATAGTTGACATTTTTTCTTCAATAATATATCATTTTTGTAAGTTTTTATATATTATTATAATAAAATGGATGACGATAAAAAATGAGGGTAAAAAACAAAAATTTTCTTAAAGGAGAAGACTTTAAGGAGCTTCAAAAATGTGCTAAGAAACTGGGATCCAAATTGTTATTATAGATTATTCTAAACGAAAAAACAACAAATCTTTTGTGGAGTTAGAATCGGGAAAGGAGGTTCATTCCGCAATCCCAAATATGAGGAATATTTAATCATGGCTTTTTTAAAAATCAAAACACAAAAAATGCCCCGAATTGTTTTCGCTAGCAATTAAAAAAAACAAAACAAAAAACAAACAAAAAAAAAGGCATTCAAGCTCGCGCGTGATAACTTTTTCTTATTATCTCGTCGCAAAACTTTTTCAATTCCTTTAGTCTCTTTTGTTTTGCTTTCTGTAACTCTTGCTCGTAAAAAGATCCCTGAATTGGTTCTCCCATCAAATCAACAATTTCATATTTGACAGTAATTGGTTATTGGTATTAAAACGGTGCATTATTTTCCTTCCAAAGCTTCATGTTCTTTAAAATAGCAATAAATAAGTCTATTATTAATATTGGGGGAGTCCCACTATGGGTGGGCTCTGTTTGCTAGGATATTAAATGATGACAATTCCCAATAGGGATAAATTTTTGCACAGGAGAAGTCATTTATTAATTAAAGCATATGAATCTCGAAAAAAAACAAATACCCAAAAAGATTAGCGCAACAAAGGTGAGAGCACACCCGCCATTCAGGAGAGTAAAGTGGAGAAAAACGGTCTGGGGATGAAGTGAAAAATGTTTCTTCACCTTACGGCTTTGTGCCTCGCTTTCATGTCTTAAGAATACGTACCATGACTGGAATGCCCCCTGACTGACAGCTGGAGAAATGTAACATTGATCGCGGTCACATTTCGCATTTAGATATTAATTTCATTTATTTTCATAAATTAATTGTAGTACCTGCCTTTTTTTAAGTTGAATATTATAAAAAAAAACAATCCCGATTTCCCATTTTTCAATTTCCCATTCCCCATTCTCCCTATTAGTAACATCCCAATTTTTATGCTAAGCTGTCGCTTTTTTATAAAAAAAAAGGAAATTAAAAAAAAAAATGATTGTCGAACCTCATGGTAACGTCAATCTTGACGTACACGTCACGGCGACTGTAAAATGTTTCCAGATAAATGAAAGGAAAAATTAAGCCTTTTTTAAGTGATCATAGCTCGAACGGTTTGGAAATCAGTGTATTCAACTTAAAAGTTTTTAGCGGTGTCAAAAGCTCCGCTATAGATCTGAAACAGGTTAATCGACTACTTACCTTCTGCATGAAGGTTCTTCGCAAAACCATCTTTTTCCCCAAGTGTATGAATTCTACCACCCACTCGAGTCTGACTCTCTAGTACTATCACGTCATGTCCGACTTGTTCCAGCTCATATGCAGCAACTAACCCCGCCATTCCAGCGCCGACCACAATCACTCTCTTCGGTTTTTGCGTCATTGAATACTCTTGGGGGTTTGGTTTCCCTATGCACTTTTGGTACGCAAAATTTAGGCCCTTTTTAGCGATATCCATCAACATAGGTTTTAATAGATCACTTTGTTGAACAGGTCCTTGCTGTTTTCCTTCAATCTTAGGCTCCATAATATCACTTTCTATATACGAAGAAGGGGCAAGGTGTCTGGCCTGAACCTGTGCCTCGTCTCCTAGACGAAGTTGGTGTGCATCACTCGTATAGTTCCCAAGATCTCCAGTTATCCAGTTTGGTTCGTTTTTAAAGGAAAATCTGCCCAACCTCCGTGCGACTGCCTCATCCGCATTTGTTGCCATTTTTTGTTCTTAAACTGCATCAACATGAAAGACGAAATTGCATATTATCAGTAGTGATAGTGGTAGTGGTAGTCAGGTAGTGGTAGTAGTAGTAGTAGTAGTAGTGGTAGTGGAAGTGGAAGTGGAAGTGGTAGTAGTACTCTCATTCAATACAAATAATATTGAAGGCACATTGCCAGCCTTGATGCATTGCGTGCAGCGAACATACATCCCGCGAATTTCTTGTTACACGAAATTACAGATAGTTGTGAAAGGCTTTTCCAAAGATTCGGTATCCGTTCGAACGACTCAGGCTATCCGTTTGAGAAAAATTGTCATCCGTTCAAACGGCTCGGGTATCCGATCGAACGGCTTAAGCTATCTGTTCAAAACAATAATCAGCCGCGCCACTGTTCCAAACACGGTGGGCAAACAGGACGCCAAATGTGGCCACTTAGAAGTTAATTCTGCAGTTTTTATCCGTTTGAGCTCAAAGTTGCAGGATGGTAGGAATTTGTATTCCAAACAATCTCATGTTTTTTGTTTTTCGATTTTAACGGTTTTTGGCGGGAAAATGACTTCACAAGATTGACAGTAAAATCTAAATTTTAACTATTGGCGTGACAAATAGTAAACAGGAGTCAGATTTTTTTCGGACTGTCAGAATTTTTCTGAAATAGTCTTATCAGTTTGACCTACAAACTTTGTTTATTAAACAAGAAACATGGTATTTCTTGCTTAATAAGCAAAAACGCGCGCCTTTCCCGTTTAATAAGCAAATAAATTGTGCTTATTAAACAAAAGAGCTGCGCTTTTAGGTTTATTAATCAAAACTTCCACTACACAACCATGGCAACAAATTATTTCTCCCAGCCGCCATTACGGGAAAAAATATGTGAGGCGAAAACAACGCTACTGCAGCATCTTTGTATAGGAATTGTATTTTGTTAATCCCTCCATTCAAAGAAAAAAAAGACGTGTATTTTCTTTTTGGAACATATTATTTTGCCAAAGAAAGATCTTCGCAGCGCAGCGATCGGCGACTCGGCCGCGAGCAAGAATCTTGTTCAAAAGATTTGCTTTTAACAAAACAAAACGATGGCCGGCTGATTCCTTTCACGCCGTCAAAAGTGACATGGAGTTTCTAGGCTAAAGGAATACAAGAAAATTTAACGCTTTCAACAAAAAACAATGTTTTTATAACGTTCCAGGTTTCCTTCAAAAGTGTAAACAGGAGTGGAAATAAACAATTTACGCCATCCTGTAGGTCAAGTTTATTGGAGACTAACCCGGCATTGTACCATGAGCGGAAACGTTTATATCACAGACTTTCAGTCTTTTAGAACGGTACGATTTTTCTATTAGGTTCGCTTCGCTTCGCCAGGCACTCAGTTGGCGAAGGCATGAGCTGGAATAAAGTCTGGCGTTCAAAAGGTTTTGTTTTTACTCCGATGACGCTGTCACTAAAGCGAAAGAACAGTTTTCGTACTGCAAATAGAATAGCAAAATTAATTTATTTTATCGAAAACTGATGGAGTATTCGTGGTCTAAAACAAACAAAGCAACAGGACAGAACTCATATCTTGAATCTGACATTAAGTTCTAGCGTGCGGGCATGAAGTTCAGTCATGAAAATTTAGCACCTAAAGAAGCTACAATTTTTCTCATGAATTATCAGTTATATTCACCCCGCCTTCTTCCATAACTTCCATGCCTATACCACTGTTTTCTTTAGTCACCCAATTATCAAAATCAGTTGTGAAAAATTTGGCTTCTTATGGTTTATTGAATTTTTGGAACAAACACTTCATGCCCCTCTAAGGCAATTCAAACTGGAATTTTGAGCATAATTCAGGCACACATGTCCAATACTCTCGACCAGATTCCAGTGGACAAAACCACGAGTCCGACGGAGTCTAGTCGAAAAATGAAACCGGAAGTTCAGTAGCGTCCACTTGAGTTACCGGAAGTTTAGTCATGAGATGAAACCGGAAGTGTAAACAATACTTAGAGGAGGGTTGGAAAGTCGTCCGATGGAGTCCATCGGATCCATTGGAAACACATCGATTCCGATGGAATCTCGGGAAGTCTAGTCGTGCCATGAGTCAAAACAAGCACACTGCACGTGTAACATAACTCGTTCTTTAAGCCCTAAGTCGAGACTGGCAAACCTAACAGGCAACAGAACCCGTTCTTAAAGCGATGAGTCAAAACAAGCACGCTACACAAAAAATATAACTCGTTCTTAAAGCAATGAGCCGAAACGAGCACGCTACGCGAATGGCATAACTCGTTCTTAAAGCCACGAGTCGAAACAAGCACGGTACCCACGTAACATAACTCGTTCTTTAAACCCTAAGTCCCCCGGGCCCTTTATTCGAGACGGACTGGCACGCTTAAAGCCACGAGTCAAAACAAGCACGGTAAAGCTATGAAACGGGGCAAAAGCCCTGCGAAACGAGGACAGTACACAAGTATATGCTTCGATCTTTAATGGTAACTATAATATGAGCTACACTTGAGTAGAATTATTAAAAGAAACATACTGGAAAATGAAGTTTTCCATCGGAATCTATTCGTGTCCAATGGATCCGATGGACTCCATCGGAACTCCTTTCCACCCCCTTCATCCAACATGAGCGGAATTTTTCCAAGTCTCTCACGAATAGAAAATGAACTTTTCCATCGGAATCTATTCGTGTCCAATGCATCCAAACACTTGGTAGGACTTTACACCACGAGACTTCCGGTTTTCCGATGGAAAGCAAGAGGATACGACTGGATTCTGGTCGACAGTATTGGACAACCCTCAATTCAGGCCATAAACAAACCAAATTGTTGACAAGAAGCCCTTATTCTGTATTTGGTAAATGAAAATGAATTGTCAAAGCCAAATCAGTTTCGTTGTTTAGAAATACACCCACTCTTATCTTAAAATTGATCTAAAACGGGCCTCTGATTAGCACAACAAACTTATGATTTAGCAAAACAAGGATGATTTTTTTTTCTTTGAAAACCTAGTAACCATCATAGAACACAAATGATGATGTTCTGATCTAGAGATATAACGACCTTTTTACAAGACACTTCAATTTTTCTTTGATTGATATTCAGTTTCATGTGATATTTCTAAGCATTACTCCAAGCATGAAAAGTCTCCATATTTTGCCAGGCCCATTTTTTAAAATATTTCTACCGCATAAAGTTAGCTTAACAAAACGTTCGTTAAAATATAATCTTCGTCTGACCTTGTAATAACCTGAATAGTTGTTGTAAATATCCATCAGCAAAGGAGCATGACCATACGTACATAGACTATACAAACAAATACGAGCTTCAGTGAGAAGTATCGAGGTTACCTCTGATTTTCCGAGTCCTTTAAAGCTGAAAAAATGAAACCATCCATCCACAGTTAGGAGAGCTGGATAACGCAAAGCTTCTGTTGCTTTTTTGAAGAAAATAACCCAAACAAAGGCTTGCGTTGAGATGATACAATTGTTATTGGTCTTCTACGTAGGATTAAGTATTATTTACCTTATGATGCCCGGTTACTTTTTTATAATAGCTTAGTGCTACCTATTTTTGATTATGCTGATTTAGTCTGGGGTGACAAGGACAATGTCTCACTTATGAAGGAATTGCAAATTCTCCAAAACAAAGCAGCTAAGTTGATATTAGATAGATCACCTCACTCCTCATCCACCGATGCATTGATTGTCTTGAGATGGCTGAATCTTGAAGAACGTAGGAAATGTCATCGATGTATATATGCATACAAGTGTATTAATGGCCAACTTAATCATTCTTTGGACATTGTAAAAAAGAGTGATATACATTCCTACAATACGCGCAATAACGATACTATCAAGCTCCCCAAAATTAAATATAATTGGGGAAAACAACGTTCGCGGTACCACTGTTTCAAAGACTTTAATGAATTAGAGAGAACTGTAAGAAACTCAGCAAGTTTTCCAATTTTTAAGAAGTGTCTTTTTTCTGCTTTTTATAATTGAGTACTTGTAGTGTGTATGTTTTAATTATTTCTGTAACTCGATTTTAGCTTGAATTTTTTTTTTTTAACCTTTTTATATTTTAATTGTATTATATAATATACATCTCGTAATTAGGACCTCTATGTAAACCACTCTTGTGATGGAGCATCCTATTAAAAGATTGTTATTATTATTATTGTATCAAATTATCTGGCCCGCCATTTTGGACTTGAAGAGTGTGAGATCGACTAAACCGAGGTCCCATCCAATCCTTCTGCCGTTTCGCGGGAATTTTTGTGTTTTTCATCAAGTGTGTTCGAAATTATAGAAAGCGATCTGTTTCAGGATAATTTTACGATGGCACTTTATTCCTTTGGAGGGGTCTATGACCAGTGCGGTGCCACGTCATGGGCTATGCAAGAAACAGGAATGCTTCCTTTGTTGTCTTGCGATTGTGACAACGGACTGCATGGTTAAAGGGCAAGTAGAAGGGTTCAGGTGTGTCCGGGGAGTGAAGAGGAAGGCCTGGTGATACCAAAACTATAGGTGATTCAAAAGATCAGTTAGGGATCATACACGCGCACAAATGGCTTTTATCGCAATCTAGGGGACTCTTCTGATTGAAGAGAGACGACGATATATAATTTATGATATTGTCGTCTCAAATTGTTTGTTTATGGTTGATTGATTCCCATGTTAATTTCCTGGGTCCCTAAGAAAAGCACGTAGCACTAAACATTCAACAAATTTATCGCAGCAATCTCTTTATCCAAAAAAAAAAAGCAACAACAACAGGTACGATGAGAATAACTTGAACGCTGTTTTTTGTCTGCTCCAACTGCTTGTTTACATTCTGCTGGTCACGTGCACACGCTTATCACGCAATACACAATTTACCGGTTTCCATTCTTTGCCCATTTCGTCGAAGATCTTTGCAAACTTGCTTCATCTAAGCTTTTTGATGAAATTGGCATTTTCAGCGAGAAAATGTCATTAAAACGTCGTCACAAAATCGACCGAATTAGTTGATATTATTGGATTTGCTTGGAATAATGCATAGGCCATAAACACACGTGTTGTGCTTGAATGGGAACTGACTCTGATTCGTTCTCGAAGAGCACGGAAGATTCGTGTATTTTTGTAAAAAAAAAAGTTTAATTTTTCAATTAAAAAATCATTTAAAAAAATGTTTATTATTCAATGAAAAAAAAAAAAAACAATAATAATGAAAAAATTTACGTGAATAATTTTTGTAACCATGGGTGTTATCTCGTAAAACTCTCTAGAATTACCTAAAAAACTCAAAAACAAAATTTTTTTTTTTCGAGAGCGAGGGCCCTTTTTGGTGTATAACCGCTGATAAGTTGTAGTGTAGATGATTCTGATGAAAAACTGCTGATTTGTTGTGCTCAGTGGACAGTACTCTAGACACTGTTGTAGCATGTGAGTGGACTGAGCCCTCTCTTGGTTGGTAGGAATACAAAAAAATAAAAACGTTTTTTCAACTTTTTTGCCTGTGAATTGTTGCCAAAATGTCGAGTGAGTGTTAAAACTGCTATTCAATATTCTGCTATATATACTGCTATTCAAGTTCTCAAATTTGTCAATTTTTTCTAAAATTGTTTTAGAATTCCGAAAAACATTCCTGCGGAATTATGTAGCTCAGCCTTTTTTAAGCTGACTTGTCTTCGACGAAAGGGGCAAATAAAGGAGACCGGTGGAGTTTCAATGCAAATTGTCTCGAATTGTGCATTGTTTAAACTTAGCATTGCTTGATAAGTGTGTCCACGTGACAAGCTGTATGTAAACAAACAGCACGAGCAGACAAAAAACAGCCTTCAAGTTATTCTTTCTAGAATTTCGAACACACCTAGCCTCGGTTGTTCTAAGGCTGGATAGCGCTATCCACTAGATAAATCTCTATGGTTTCATTTTTTCAGCTCTGAAGGACTCGGAAAATCAGAGGTCACCTCGATACTGCTCACTGAAGCTCGTATTTGTTTTTATAATCTATGTATGTATGGTCATGCTCCTTTGGTGCTACAAGGTCAGACGAAGATTATATGTTAACGAACGTTTTGTTAAGCTAACTTTATCTGGTAAAAATATTTAAAAAAATGGGCCTGACAAAATATGGAGACTTTCCATGCTTGGAGTAAGGCCATCCCCACCTTTTTTTTCGTTTAGAGTCGAATGCGCGTCCTAATATTGGGTTGGTCGGTCGGTCGGATTGAACCCAAAAAAAAAAAAAAGTACAAAAAAACCTACAAAGAAATCACAAGAAGCATTGGAATGGGAGGCCCTGGTACCCCAGGAATACATTGAAAGTTAACATTAACATATTTGGATTAAAAAATACACAATTTCTGTTTTTGTTCTTGTCTTTTTCCATGCTGTTAATATGCTCATTTTTCAGATTAAAAGAATTATTTCAAGTGAAAAATGGTTCAACTACGACGCTACTTTTTTTTTTTTTGGAAAATGCCAAAAATTTGGGTCGGTCGGATGACGCTAAACGGAGGAAAAAAAAAGAGGATGGCCTAATGCTTAGAAATATCACATTAAACTGAATATAAATCAAGGAAAAATTTAAGCTTCTTGTAAAAAGATCGCTATATCTCTAGGTCAGAACATCATCATTTGTGGTCTATGATGGCTACTAGGTTTTCAAAGAAAAAATCATCCTTTTTTTGCTAAATCATAAGTTTGTTGTGCTAATCAGAGGTCCGTTTTACATCAATTTCAAGATAAGAGTCGATGTATTTCTAAACAACAAAACTGATTTGGCTTTAACAATTCATTTTCATCGGGCTGAATACTCTATAAGATCATCAGATGTATTAAATTCTGTAAAGTGGTCCATTAGAAGAAAGAGGAAAAGGGCACTTGCTAATTATGATGTTTAAAGTATCCAGTGACAATTGTTCGACGTACCATCGGGAGCGGTTTCATAGAACCTCTGAAGTTCACAACTATAATTTGAGGTGTTCAAACTATGATCTCCAATTACCGCTACCTAAAACGAATTAAGCACTCATTCTCTTATCGGGGTGTAATGGCTTGGAACCAACTGTCAAATCAAACATGTGGTATAGAAGATCTTACTAGCTTTAAACTTGCGATATCCTAAGATATAACTTTTTTCTCTTATTTTTTATTTTTTTTTTATGACTTATTTCTTCTTATTATATTGTATTTGAATAAATCTTGCTTACATAAAACAGATAGTTACGTTTATAAGAGTCGATAGGAACAGATATAAAACTACAAATCCTAGTGCTATATTATTGTCATTTAATCACTAGTTTTAATATTTATAGCTTGTAATTGTTACACGGCATGTCTGAAAACCAGCTTGCTGAGCCATTTACCTCGTTGAAATAAAGTTGATTGAATTAATTGAACTGAAAAACTAATCAAGGTTTTGAAAATGACCCCCAGCAGAATGGCCGCCCGCCCCCTTCAAAGACCAGACCCTAAGGATAGAACTGCCAATAAAAGCAAAGCTTTTTTAAGTTAAGCAACTAGCCTAATAATATGATTTTTCCCAAATAATTTCTTTATATTTATTGCTACGCAACCGGAGGCACACTGAATGGATCCTTGGCTTCAAGCTTTCGTTCCCTGTGATTAATAAGGAAGGTTTGTTGTCTCGTCTCTCATGCGTTAAGCAAGATGGTTTTTACGGTGACGTCATCCAGTTTTAAAGTCAAAATAGCGAGGTTTTACGAATTCTCATTTATACAAGGTTGAAGATAAACAAAAATCTGTTGAAAATCAAGAGGAGAGGCTTTTTTTTTTAACGAGATAGCATTCCTATTCAGTGTATCGCACACTGTGAGAACTCGGAAGTTCAAATTACTGTATTTTCGAAACGAAACATGCTACAGGACTGAAAACTTGTAAAAGAATTTTTTTTTTGTTTATCTTCAACCTTGTATAAATGAGAATTCGTAAAACCTCGCTATTTTGACTTTAAAATTGGATGACGTCACCGTAAAAACCATCTTGCTTTACGCATGATAGACGAGACAACAAACCTTCCTTATTAATCACAGGGAACGAAAGCTTGAAGCCAAGGATCCATTCAGTGTGCCTCCGGTTGCGTAGCAATAAATATAAAGAAAGTACTTAAAGTACTAGAAGATGTGTTTATGCGCACGTATGCTAACGTTATGCTAGCTCTCGAGTGAAACGAAAGATCTTTTATAGAAAAAGTGATCTCCTGGGCCCAGTTGTTCGAAGGCCGATTAGCGCTTTACCCGGAGTTAAATTTAACCCAGGTTTTTTTTTTCTTATGTTCAAAAGCTTTTTTTCGGATAATTTTCTCTCTTTTTTTTCAGAGCTTCCAATCATCGCCTTGTAGACAAAAAGAATTAAACTGAAAAGCTTTTTAAGCTTTAAAATCTGAATTCAAATCTCGCACTAACCCTGGGTTATCTTAACCCAGCTTTGAACAACTCGGCCCAGGTGTTTTTTTGATTTCCGGCGGCCATACTGTACACAAATATGGCGTCTCCATATTTGCTCAAATTTTCAGGCAAATGACACTTAGCAGTACAAATTTGGTAGCTTCTGGGTATATCAAAATGGAAAAGGTCTCACTTACGGTTGACGTGCGTCGTCGACGCCTTTGAATTTTCTCTTTTCCTTTTCTTTTCTTTTCCCTTTTTTTTAATCGTTCACTTGACCTAAGGTCCGCCATTCATTTGTTACACGTTCCAATCACAATTTTCCCTGAGTTGTAGATTTCAGTTGAGGCGACATTTGCCAAAATAGGCACGAAAGTGACATATGTGTTTGACTTATTAGGAACTCTCTGCTCAGACATGTACAGTTCCAGTCAACAATGATGTTTTTCGGTAAAGTCGACTTACAAAGTTAGGAAATTGGAAACAGAGAATGCTCAAAACAAAAACATCGAAAGTTTTAGAAACAAACAATGCCATCGCGATCGGCGTAAGGTCGTGGGATCCTGCAGAATGTTTCAATTTTGTCACCAGCAAAACGAGACCTGCAGGACTACAACTGCCTTTATCTTTAATTTGAAGACAAAGAGGTAAGATTCTATACCTTACATTTAGGTCTCGATTTAACGTATACTGCACAAAATTTAAGTTGCCTCAGTTAAATATATGTAGCTGGAGCCCTACACAAGTCACTCACGTGATTAGTTGAAACACCGAATTTTAACCACCATTAAAATTCGATTCCTTCGTGCCAAATCATTTCCCCCAAAAATCCTTTGGGACTTTAAAAGAACAACTCTCTGACTTTAAAATTCGAGGTTTTCGACGAGTTATATGTGGTACCACATGTTTAAACTAGTAATAGTTGACACTACAGCTGCCCCCGCTCTGTATAATGTCGGTCAATAGCATTCTTGCTCGTTGTGTAGCTCTTTGAAATATACCGATTCATAAGGAAGATTTTGACACATATTCCATACAATAGGTGAGATAAATACAGGAAACTCAAGGTTCCATGCACAGTTTTAGATCGATTTACACAGCTTTGATCAAAACATTCTCAGTTTCGAGAATAGTTTATTCTAAACCACAAGAAAAGATTTAATAAGAAGTTTAATTTTTCGCTATTTTTCTTTCACTTTTTACATTCAGTTCATGTTATTTGCCGGAAAGGAAGCCTTAGAAATTAAAAGGACGTTTGATTAATTCACACTCGCGCATTCTAGTCTTATTTTAAAGTTTATAGCGGAAGGAATAAGTCAGCACAGAATTTGATTGTCGGAGAATTTCTGTAAACGTCTATCGTTCTGCTAGTGAGAAGCTAGCCGTTGTTCACTCGTCTTGCTTGTTTGGGGCCGAGTCTTATTCCGGTAAAAGAGAGAGAGAGAGAGTATCTGGCAAGGTTTCCAACGAAAGATGTGTGAACTCTTGTCTGACAAACTCTCCAAGTGTTTATATATACATTTATACGCACCTTATAATTTCTTCTGCGCTTAACGAGTGTCGTTAAAATTTTGGTCTATAACTTTCACTGAAACAACTGCTCTACAGAATGTCACTGATAACACGTAGCGCAAAAGAGTGTCGAAGTATGACTGCACAATAAATGTCACAAAATCTACCTAAGCGGTCCCTTGGGGATGTTCTTTCTTTACGTCATCCTAACCATTTCGTACTTGCGGGCGCAAACAATAGAAACGTCCTCATTACCTACCAATTCCTCGCGGCCCCTGTTCAAGCAAATCGAGATTTTTTCTATATTGACTTTATGACTGTACATTTCAACTGTAAGTACTTTCCTTAATAAACGCGCGAGTTACTAGAGTGCCTCCTCGCGATTTCGCCTTCTGGGCGAAATCCCTGCGGGGGCAATAATAGTCTAATTTTGGCTAACTTTTTATCGCGATTAAAATAGGTCGGATAAATTAACTTAGATTTTAAAAGTTAATAGACGACAATTGCTTAAATTGCTTCTACGGCATATTTTGACATCGTTTTACAGTATGTGGTAGATTATATTTCTCCAAAAGGGCTTTGTTTTGTAACGCGAGGCGTCATAAATCGCCCTAAATTTTGCACTCAAAAAGCGGCATATTGACAGAATTCAGTTATTATCGATTTTCACGAATACTACTCGATTATTAGTCGAACGAACTATGCATGTTTTGTTTTACATTAAGGTCAAGCTTAAAAATTACCTGAGAATATGGGCCAAATTGATTTTTGAGCTGTTACCACGAAATTTTGAAAATGTTTGATTTTTGGGAACATTTTTTAACAAACAGTCACTGATCCACCTTTGATAGCCGAAAATTTCAATGACTATTTTGTAAAAATAGGACCAAATCTGACTAAAGAAATACCAGCCCATCATAATTCCTTTAGAACTTTTTTAAAGCAAAGATGTTCTGCTTCAGTGTTTTTAGATCCAGTAACAGATGACGAAGTTCTTAATGAGATCAAACAATTTAATGCAAATAAGTCCAGTGGTCATGATGATAGCTCTCCAAAAGTTGTTAAAGCTATTTCTAGTTATGTTGTAAAACCTCTCACACACATATTCAATTTGTCTTTTCTTACTGGCAAAATTTCAGACGCACTTAAAATTGCCCTTGTAACACCAGTATATAAGGCAAATGATCAGCATAAGTTTTCGAATTACAGGCAAATATCCGTATTACCCTGCTTCTCTAAGATACTACAAAAACTTATGTACAAAAGAGCTATTAGGTTTATCAATAAGCGTGATCTATTGTCCAGATATCAATATTGATTCAGAGCACGGCACTCTACTCAGCAACTGGCCATAGAACTTGTTGATAAAATAACACAGGCAATTGAAAGAAATGAATTTACACTTGGAATATTCGTAGATCTTTCAAAGGCATTTGATACTGTGAATCATGATATTCTTTTAGATAAACTTGAGTACTATGGATTCAGGGGGATTGTATTGGATTGTATTAGATTGGTTTCGTAACTACTTAACAAATGGGAAACAAATAGGTAATTATAGATCAGTTAAGTCAAAAAGTTTCATCCTTACTTGTGGGGTTCCCCAAGGGTCCATCTCAAGCCCCTTGTTGTTTTTAATATATGTTAATGACATTTCAGAAAGTTTAGACTGCTTGCAGTCCGCCTTATCTCTTAAAATCCGTCTAGTTCTTATCTCATTCAGCGCGATTGCAAACCACGATGTTATTATTTAGGGATTGCTGACTCTTTTGTAGTAAACAAGCCCCCCGTCAGCCCAGAAACGGAGTAACCGGTTGGTCAATTGCACAGCTGTTGACAGATCATTGACTGGTCTGTGGTGATATTGCAAACAATAAAAATAGTCACGCGTCACAACCAACTGCAGATAATAGCGAACCAAGCAGTAATCTCAGTAATAGCAAATTTTTAGGATGTCTTTAAGGAGGAAACTGCTGCAAATTTCCGGATTTAAAGACAGTGTAATTTTTTCAGTTGTTTACGTCCTATTTATAAATCGTTTCATGTTACTAGGGTTCAATTAATTAATTAAATTACCTTGACAACTTTGTTGTCCCCAGACAGAACAAAAGAGTCAGCATTCTCTTATTTTTTCTTCTCGGGCTTACGCCCTCGTTTCTCGCGGCAAGCGACCTTCGCCGCTCGCATGCTTAGGTTTCGCGTGCAGTAACTTTGCAAAGAAAAATAAGAGAGTGCTCGCGGTCTACAGAAAGTTCAAATTTGTTATCATTTTTGTTGTTTGATACTAATTTATTGATCAGTGACAAAGATATTAAGAAATTATGTGACAATGCTAATCGAGAGCTTTGTAAAGTTGCAAATTGGCTGGCTGTTAACAGGTTATAATTAAATGTGAAGAAAACACATTTCGTAATTTTTAGAGCAAAGAACAGTAACTGACAAACAAACCAAGTATAAACATCGCCAATCAGAATATCGAGCAGGTAAATAGTACAAATTTCTTAGGACTGACTATTGACCAAGATCTTTCGTGGAAACACCATATTAAGTAAGTAAGTTCCAAGATTGCGAAGTTGTCAGGAATAATAATAAGAACAAGGCATTACTTACCGCTAAAAATATTGCAAACAATCTATTACGCCTTGGTTTACCCTCACTTGACTTATTGAAATATCGTATGGGGCACTACCTATCCAACAAGGCTGGAGGGTATATTTAACAATTATTCTTTTCAATCTCGGTAAATAGTGGCTGAATTATTTACCGAGCCACAAAGTGGCGAAGTAAATATTCCTAAAGCCACTATTCACCAAGATTGAAAAGAATAATTGTATTAGTATATACACAAGAAGTGATCTCATCAAAATCAGAGAGGAAACCATTAAAAAGTACGATTTGATTGACATATCAGTCAGCTAGACACGCGAAACTTTTAAAATAGGTCTTTGTAGGATCTTCAAACATGGCAATTCACAAGCTTATCACTTTGCAAACAAAAGCGTAATGACTTAAATGGAACCGCTAAAAGTTTGAATTGTTTCCTTACCTGAGAAGAGAAGAAGAGCTTTTTTGTTTTCTGTTGACTCGCCAAGTTTATTTTTGAAACGTAGAATTTCTGCAAACATTTGCTTTCAAATTTGTTTGTCATAAATAAACTTCGTTTCTGGGCCAAAGTTTTCTTGTTAGGAAACGCTGAATTCACGAAACCGCCTCTTCTAGGCGAATGAACGGGAGTTGTAAACAATCCATCGACCACAAAATTCAACTACAGTAAATGGAGAAACGCCGTTTTGAATCCTTCGAAGTCTTTTCTTGCCTTAAAAAAAGTCAACCCTAGGATTTTGTCGACTTTTAAAAGATCGTTCTCTAAAAAAATGGAAAAAAAAACCGAGCTCAAACATTATCCACTCGCTAGGAGGTAAATATTGTTGAATAGTCCGAGATAGCGAACCAATCAGATTGCTTAAATCACCAAAAGATCACTGAGTGTGTATATACTAAATAAGATTCAAAGGAAAATTGTAAGGATTGCAACGTTTTCGAAATATACACAGGACGCAAGGCCTATATTCCTTTCTTTGAATTTCCTAACAATATATGAGTTGAACTCTTATCTATTGGCATTATTCTTGTATTCTTACTTTGGAGGACAATTGCCGCCATCTTTTTCAGATTACTTTTCGGAGAATAATACTATTCATTCCTATGATACAAGGTCTGCGAACAAAGTATAGATTAAGTATGAGAGAACTAATTATAGAAGTTTCTCAGTTAGATATAGAGGTGCTATGATATGGAACAGTTTGCCAAATAGTTTGAAGGAGATGAAGTCATTGCAGTTGTTTAAAAGAAAATTGAGATGTTTTGTTCAACAGACATATACTGACTTTACATAGTGGAACATAAATAAAGTGTAATACTCTTGCCCCTGAATCTAAGCGATACGTTTCCCAGAATATTTCAAGCAATTCCTGGAACTCCGCCGGTAAATAAAATCGGTGTCACACAACGTTTGGCTAAATTTGTATTCAGCCAGGCTTTGTCGTATTTATCCCTTACCAAACCATATGTATTTTGAAACTGATTTTAAAGTGTTTAAAATGTATTTTCAGTATTTGAATACTATTTTCCTGTATTTTAAACCTATTTGACAAAAAAATTTAAATTTTCGCCCCTGTTTGGAATATATCTTAAGTGTAGTTAAATTATATTTCATCAAAATGAAAACCTCTCTCATCAGTTTACAATGTATTTTGTTTAATAAATATGATTAAAATAGGGTATTTCAAATTTATTTTGGGCATAGAACCACTAACACTGTTACAAACAGAGTTCAAATAGACTATTTGAAATATGTTTTAAGGGCTTAAATGCGACTGTTTTTTAAATACTTTTAAATAGGGTACTTTAACACTATTTGAGTTGCATCTACAATGTATTTTGAGGCGCATCCACTCACAAAGTTACAAACATAATTCAAATAGACTATTTGAAATATGTTTTGAGAGCCTAAATGCTGACCGTATCTTAAATACTTTTAAATAGGGTACTTTAACACTGTTTTGAGTTGTATCGAAAATGTATTTTGAGACGCATCCACTCACAAAGTTACAAACAGAGTTCAAATAGACTATTTGAAATATGTTTTAAGTCCTTAACTACTGACCGCATTTCAAATACTTTTAAATAGGGTACTTAAACACTGTTTTGAGGTATATTTGAATTGTATTTTGGGCACACAACACTCTGACTATAAAAACAGATTGTACATAAAATAGTTAAAATCTGCTGAAAGACATCAAATGCTGACCTTATTTTAAATACTTTAAAATAGGGTACTTATTACTTATTATTATTGAGGTGCAATATTGTAATGTATTTTGGGATACTCATACTCAGACTATAAAAGTAACAATTGCACAAAGTTAGTTTTTAAGCCTTCATCGTGTCACGAACTCATAAATGACTCAAAACAAGCTGTCATATTGTGGACCGGATTCTTCTCTCAATAAAGCTCGAGGCGGAGCGAAAAATTAAATCTCCCAGCAAATCAAAAAGAAATTGAAAAAAGAGAAGAAAATTAGGAATAGATTTTAGCTTTGACTGCAGACAACACGTAACTGTGACAGTGTGCCGATAAAGGATCAATCCGTTCCTCAATGTTCATTACCTGCAAGCTCTCTGTGAAAATCTCCGCCTAGATTTTAACCGTGATTCAATTAATGCAGCTACGGGACATTCCATAAGTTTTTTTAAAAGAAAATTCTTAAAATCACACTTTAATTTTCATGTAGAAATTTTTCACAAACAGCCGAAGCCGCGGGACGAGAACCGGATGCACGCGGTCAATTGAGATTTGTCTAAAATAAGTCCTTGAAATTTCATAATAATTAAAACAAACTATCCAAGCTAAGATCTCACCTCGTATATATTGCACTAAGAAACAACGCTCACATCTGAATAAACTCCGACTTATGGTTATCTTTCTCTCATAGACTATTCCGCACATGCATGGCATATTATTTTTGAGATGTCACGCGCGACTGAAATCACGACTTCGCGCCGCGGTGATGTGACAAATGCACGTGATAAGCAAACCGTCCTTTGTCCTTTGCTCATTTCAAATTATTGAACCGGCGGTTGCTGCGAGCTTAAATGCGCTTGATTTTGCTGTTTGTTACGATCTTACAAAAGTACACTCCAAATCTGCGGATTGTCGGAACACGTAGATGTTGCTTTATCACGAATCAAAAATGGTTATGACTCCTCAGCGACTGTTATGTACTTTGAAAGGTTCTGGTTCAGGAGAAGAGTCCAAGAGTCTAATTGTAAGTATTAAATATACAATGCATAAAATGTTACTAAGACGCTTAAATATACGCCATATGAGAAACAAATGAAGGGTAGTAAACATTTATATAGTCGCGCCCGTACGGCAATTTTAGTTTTTACAGGATTCCTTGCAGAGACTCGCTGTTTTGAATAAATGATCTCAGTCACTAGATGTCACGTCACCGGCCTCTTTCATTCTCGCGTAAATTTGATGGTGTTATTCGTATGCTGTTCTTTATCAGCCACTAATTAATGTTCAGGCGTAGCCTGCAAGCTTCTGATGATATTTGGGTAAAGCCGTGAATATAATAAACAATGTAAGTTACATGCATGTAGATTATTATTTACCGGTAACGTCAGTAACGTTATACCCTTTTGAAGCCAAAGGTTGATAGCCTGTGTACAACCCCCCCCCCCTCCGAGTTTTATTGAAGGAAGGGGTCTGTACACAGGCTAAAGATTGATTTGAGCATTTCTGAAAAATTCCATAAGAATTTCCCGAGAATTCTTAGGGAAATCAACGTAAACCCGGCATAGTAAATCGAACGTTCGAAAATCGAACTCAATCGAACGAAATCGAACACTACACTTTCAGTGAGTTCGATTTCCGAACAAATCGAATTCAATCGAACAAATCGAACTCAATCGAACTCAATCCGTCTGATTGTGTTCGATTGAGTTCGGAAACCGAACTCAATTAAATGGATTTCGTTCGATTGGCTCTGGTGAACCTATACAAAGCAAGCCCAAAGCAAGCCCGTCAAAGCAAGTTTTTCTTGCGCTTTTTTTACTATTTATTCAATAACACAAACCCCATTTATAAACTGTCCACGGCAGTTAAGAGAACAGAACAGAACAAACCCTGAAAACTTCGCCATCCTTGACGTCAAAGCGGCATTCCAGGTAGCCTTTGACTATACATTTGAAGCTTACGATCCACAACGCATCTGAAGCCATTTCTGCGGAATTTCTTCGTTTACGAAAAACACGTGCGCTACACTCAGGGCTGAAGTAACTCGAGCTTCTAAGATCTGGTAATGGATTTTCAACGTCTGTTTTACATAAATCACGAGTTCGAAAATCAAACGTTCGATTGGGTTCGATTGATTTTTTTTCTTTTCGGTGAGTTCGATTTCGTTCGATTGCCGAACTCAATCGAACTCAATCCACCGATTGAGTTCGATTGAGTTCGATTGAGTTCGATTGAGTTCGATTGAAATTTAGTTCGATTGGGTTCGATTTACTATGCCGGGCGTAAAGTAATCGGCTAAGAGATAATTCTCTTGAAATCCTAGCCTAGGACTGTGTGGAGAAATTTCGCCGAGGTAAATCTTGCTTTTTCAGGGTAATTTTCGACGGTTTTGTATTCATTTTATTTCATGAATTTAAATGGTATTTCCATCCTGTTTTTGTACTATTTTTATGCTCTTTCGACCGATTTTTATACTGCTTTCAGACAACTCTAAGGCTATGTTCTTACAATTTTATACTGTTTTTGCATTTTTGCATCCTATTTTTGATGTATTTAATTCATAATATATGTGTGCTATTGCTTTTCTTCTTCTGTGGTATTTTAATACTGTTTTCAAAGTATTTTTATTGTATTTGCAAATACAAGTATTTTACTAAATTTCGAAACCGATTAAACAGCTATTAAAATATATTTTAAAGCATAACATTTTAATAGCGTTTTAAACAGGTTAAAACACCTTTAAAATCAGTCGAAAAATATATCAAAAATATATTTTTGTACCTATTTTAAACCTGTTTTTTTTTCAAAATACGTTTAAAATTGCCATTAAAAATAGTTTTAAAATAGTATAGTAAATTAAAATATGTTTTTGAAACTGTTTTTATCCTGTTTTTATTCCGATTTATAAGGTATTTAAAAACTGTTTTTGACCTGTTTTGAGCCTTGCAAAAGCCCTGGAATTTGAAAATAATACTTTAAAAATTCTTTTTTAATAGCGTTTTAAGCAGGTTAAAACACCTTTAAAAGCAGTCGAAAAATACATTAAAAATACACTTTTTACCCTATTTAAAACCTATTTCACAAAACAGGTTAAAAACAGTTTTCAAAAATAGCTTAAAAATACATTCAAAACAGTGCTGGATTTGGTAAGGGATTTAACTGATAAATTGCTTTTCTTCTGGAAAGTGTGACAAGGTTTGTTCTCCCTTGGTAGTAAAATGTTTTATAGACAAAGGAAGCAAAGATTGAAAATGACTTGATACGCTCGCGAAGCGTTATGAACCAGTTCAATATTGAACTCGATTGGAAATTCACACTTTCTATCTCCATCGCTCGCGTGCTCTTAACATTTATATCGTCGACAGCTTTTAGTCACACCAAACAATACGCAAAAAGAAAGAAGAAGAAGAGTAAAATAGGGACCTTCACGACGATTTTCGCGGTGGGTTACTCATCCAAATCCTAACCCTGCCAAATAGGGCTTAACTTGAGGGCGCTACTGAAAAAAAAAAAAAAAAAAAATTCTCGAGGGTTATTGCGCGATGCGCAAGTTTCTTAATACGCTGATTTATTTTCACGGACTTTTATACAATGTAGCTTAATACAAACACTTATTTTCGTTCAAATTTCAGTTTTTATCGATCGCCTTCGCGTCGTGTTGCGTTACATGCACAGTTATTTAACACTAATGATGTCAAATATCAACATACAATAGAAGTAAGCTGCAGCTGATTCAAATTAATTCAAATGCCATGCTTTACTCGCAGCACTTCACTTTCCATTGGAAACTGCTAGTTTTCTGCCAAAACAGTCCGAAATTGACGTCTACGATTCATCCTATCCGGTGTGCTGTAGCACTGGGAACATCGACATGCTGTCAACTGAAGGTCGTTTTACCTTCAAAAAGGAAAGGCCTATTTACAGCACACAGTTTATCAGAAAGTGTCGGCATTAGCAAGGTTAGCTTTCTATCTGTTGATTCTGAAAGAAACAAGTGCCTGTTCCCGGAGGGGGGGGGGGGGGGGGGTACTTCTGGGAATTCTTGGTGTGGGTGTACCGCCCAGTTCTCCAAATCCTTAACCTATTTCAGATCAAAAAAATGTAATTTTTCACACACGTTTTCAGATCTGGCCTCTAAAATATATACCTGTCTTCAGACCTGGCCTCTAAGAAATTATGTCACCGATACTTAGATTAGAACAGCAAAATTAAAAAGTTTTTTTAAAATCTATTTCGAATTCGCATATTTCCCTTAGCTTTCTTTCTTACTCATTTGGAATTGAAACGATAAATACGTTCATACACTCCCGTAGTTCCCTCGAAAACCATACCCGATTCCAGATCAAAATAGGCAAAGTCGATGCCCGTTTTCAGACCAAAACGGCGCAAAACTCTTTGAGGCGGTACATACCTATATGACTTATGTAAGGGAATACTCCCCCGGCTGTCCGTTATCCGTTGTCTGTATTAGCGGGTGTCCGTGTTTTAAAAGCAGATTGAATTTAGAGAAAATGTAAGGGTTTCAACCCTCGGGAGCATAAAAACTGTCCGTATTAACGAGGTGTCCATATCAAGCGGGTGTCCGTAAACCGGGGACCGACTATAGTTATAAAACGGTACATTACCTGAGGAGATGACAGTCTTCGCAGTACAGGAAAACAGGCGGACTCTAAAGGAAAGCATATTAGGTATTCCCTTTAATTTTCAGCCCCCCGCCAATCAAAGTGCCAATGGATCAAAATCTACCAATCACATTCAAGTTGCTGTCAATCATCAGAGGGTTTTCAGATAACCTGAGATTATGAGGCTGTTTATAAGTAATACAGAGAGCTTGAGAGTTTTTTCTTCGGTTTCGTTTACAAATGCATTGTTTATTTGCTTAGTAAATTTTACATGTATTATCCTTCTCTCAATAACCTTTACAAAACGTTTGAAAAAGTTCTGGAAACGTCTCGTTTTACTATTGTACCGAAATCAATATTGCTCTCAAAAAGATCCCCCCAACAAGAAAAAATATATATATATATATAAATAAATGAAAATAATAATGATAATAATAATAATAATAGTAACTTATATGAAGTCGATCAGGAGCTCGGGGGTGGGGAATAGACCACCAGGAAAGAAAAAAAAAAACGCAAATCCCGGGAGGATGTCAAGGGGGGGGGGGGGGGGGGGGGGGGGGGGAGAGGGGGGCATGGTAACAAGTCAAATAGAAGCATGCGTTAGTTTGAGATAGATCGGTTAAACACTATAAAAGGCTAGGTTTCTAGACCGAAAGTCAGTTCGATAGAGCACATGAATGAGTGAATTGGAACTCACCACCACTCAAGTGCCTAATGCAAATCAAACACTTATAATTGACACTACCCTGCTGTAATTTAATCATAATTGACACTATCATAACCTGGGTGTTACTTTAGTTCTATATTTACTCCAATAAACACACTGCAGCTTTCTTTGCTATGTTTTAAGTTGCAATACATCTAAAAAAATATATTCCAAGGAGAAGACCCTCGTTACCGATTAAGAAAAACTAGTTTTCTATTGCCATTTGAAGCTCGGTAAAGTGTATCCCCCAAGATTCCATTAATGAATTTATTTTTGGAAAGTTGAACCTCTTGGTAGTTGTAGATTTCAGTTTCATCTCGGCATTTTGCATGACTAATAAGCAGTGAATTCGCACGCGAGGTAGTTATGAAATTTCTACCGCCTCAGTTTCCTTGAATTTGATGTAAATGTCTTCAAAACAATTGTATCCATTCAAAATACAGAAAAGGTATCGTAAAAAACAAAATTCACTGCTCGTCACGCACGCAGGAATGCAGATTAGAATTTGATAGTGGTTGCGGTAACGACTAACGGATTGATTAATGGCATCTTGGCGGGTACGCTTGACCTGGCACGACTGTAAATTAAAGCATCGGAAATACCCAGGTGCGACCGAAACCGCGTGTAGCGAGCGTTGTTTCCTTTACATAGAATATTACGTCATATACTAGCATATTATGATCTAAGGTGGTGTTCCTTGTAGCGATATGGATCTTCCAGCCTTAAGTTTTGACCACAGAATGTGACGGAATAGTACGAAACAAATCGCATCAGTGGTTGATATATTTTCAGGATGTCCTCCCACTTGCTATCAGAAATGAAGGGAGTAGCCGATGTATAATGACTGAAACCACGAAATATCTGACAAACGCAATAACTTACCCGGGGTGGGGGGCACTCCCTTACGTGATCTAGGCGGGGATGTACCTCTGGACCGGGTATGGTTTTTGTCCCCTCTGTCCTAAACGGGGTATATAATTTCATGTGCATGAGTCTGTCAACAAGGCACTGCTTGCACGATTGATTTGATTTGCTAAATGAGTTTTGTTTCTACTCCAAGCATGTAAAAGAAATGACTATAACCTGAATTTGCTCTGTAAGAATTGCCAATAAATGGCTTTAAAACAAAGCGGCGGGAATTTTCTTTGTCCTAAACAGGGTAATAAAATCAAGGGTATTGTCCTAAACAGCAGGGTATGTATTTTAGAAGATTTTTGTCCTAAACATGGTCAGGGTTTCAAACCCCCAGCGACACGCCTGTACCGAATTATTGGTCGAGTACCGCTCCCTCCCCCCAACCCCACCCCGATAAATTATCTAGAGATCAAAAGGGTCAAAAGAGGAAAAAATCAGTACGGAAAATCGTATAAGGAGCCTTTCTAAAGAAATTCGTCGTTTTATTATCCTGTTACCCCCTCTCTGAGTGGAATAGGATTATTTCAACGATGCTGTTTCTGCATGATCACATGAAGGATGCCAGAGTTTAAGACGTCTCAAACTTCAGTCGTAAAATAGCCTCTTTAATTTTGAGAATATTTTGTGGCCATCCTAGACATCTAAAGAAAATTTTGTATAATATTATATTGAAAAAAGACTCAGTTATGCATTTTTATAACAAAAAACAACTGCTGGTTGTTGCTGAAGGGGCTTTAAGGAAATTTTCCCAAAAAACGCGAAATACAAATATTTCCATTTTATTTAAAGTTGCGGTTAATTAGTCGACTCTTAAAATCACTCTTAACGACACCTCGGTAAAAGGAACCCGTAGAGTTGGTCCCTACCTTTCTTTGCTCCCTCTTTAACACGAACGTCACTCTAGCTTAGAACCACACTTAGTGTCGTCCCAAAGGTGTTCGACTTAGAGAGAGTTGTCTGTATAAAAATAAGCATTCTCAAACAAATGAAGGATACTTATTAACCTCAGAAAGCAAAGACACGACATGACTATAAATCCACCTATAATGACATCTACCCACTCGAGAAAACTACTCTACATCGTGATATGGATGAAGTAAATGTACAAAAACTGTAAGTATATGGAAGCTATGGAACAATTCATGTATAATTCATGTTCCTGTAACATTGTTCAGATTCACTAAACAATTAATTTTTATTGGCGGGATAATTAGAACGCCCCTCTCTTCAAAAAGTATATAACGACTTTCTCAATGATATTAAGAAGCTAAAAAGGACAATTGAACAGAAATATTAAAATCCAAAATATACTCCATCTGCTTCATAATTGTCATGGTGCAATTCTTTACTACCTAATCGATATGTGCTGTATTTCTTTGGCAAGCGCGATTGCCTCACGTCTATCCACTGTCGTTCTAAGGAGGGCCTGCCAACCAAATCTTGTTAAATATGGCAGCTCTCTGCAAGTTGTTACCTTTAACTGGCTGCTGAGATTTAATATTGGCGATAGCATTCTCTGTCAAAAGAACACCTCGGTCGATACGCATTGGCTTAATGAGTTGGCTGTATAGTGGCGTTGTTTTCCCTCTAATCGCCAAATCTTTAAGTATTTTTCCTATGACAGGAACAAACTTCATAGCCCATCCACCAGTAAAGACGACGATGCGGTCATTAATGTTTTCTCCTGGTAGAAAATCCAGAACAAAACCGACACCATTGTCGTCTTCCTTACAGGATTCAGCAAAGCCTGCGACGCATGTTGATGGCTCATCATTTGTTAGTTTGGGATCCAGACTAGGCATTGATTTCTTCACAAAGTCACTGGTGAATTGAAGGGCATCTTTATCAAGTGGTCGGCTGCAAGCGTCTGGAGGATAAAGGTGGAAGTCAAAGCGCTCATTTGATGTGAATGCGGGAGCAACTCTTGCGTAATTTGGCCGCTTTGTTTCGCTTGGGAAACCGTAGTAGCAGTTTAAATCGTTCTCTTTCGGATGACCAAAGAAATACCAGATAGGCCATTTATTCGATGAACCTGACACCGAGGAAAGAGTTCGTGATACCGCCTTGCTCTTGAAATAGATGGAGCTCCATAGATAGATTGTGAGGTTTATCCTCTCCTTTAATGTTGGCGTAAGAGATGATAGGACGTGGTTAACATAGGTGCCAGGCGTCAAGATCACTTTCTTAGTGCGGATGTACTGTGGCTGCTGACCAATCCACACTCTAACCTCATCATCCAGACTATAATCAATGCACTTGACAAAGGCATTTTCGATTAGATCAGCATTGCCTGAAGATTTCAACATCCTGTTAAGTCCTTCAATAAGGCCAGGTACATTTATTGGGCCTCCATCTTTAACAAACAAAGCTTTTGGGTTCTCCATATCGTTAACCGCGTCCGATATAAAAGAAAACCGCTCATCGCTCTGAATTTGTTCTTTACCTTCAAGCAAATCGTATGGTTGACTTAGCATCTTGAGGTTTTTTACAGCCTCGTCAATGTTGCCTTCACTGCTTTTGACCGTAGCATCGCCAAACCAAAGGCAGCCCGTTCTTTCCAAAAGGGAGTTGTCATTCAAGTCTTTCATGAGTTCGTCCCATTCTTTACTTGACTCTATAGCTAGTTTGCAAAGATAGAGCTCAGAGTAGCAAATACGAAATTGGCGACCAAAGCCAGGGCTTGATCCATGTGTGTTTCCAAAATTGTACTGTTCGATGACCATTACTTTTTTTCCCTCTTTTACAGCGCAGTGGTACGCAGCGGATAATCCAATGGGACCACCACCAACAACGATCACGTCGTATCCCGATCCAGAAACTCTTGCGGCCATGATCTTCGGTTTTTCTCTATCTCAACCTTCTGTTCCAATTAAATTTCACGTATGGTTGAACATTGAATGGAATGTAGTTAGCTATGGGTCATGGGTTTCATGGCCTCAGGTATGTTTATTTAGCCATATGCGCGTTTATCACGAAAGCAGCTCAGGAGGGAACCTAATGGAAAAGTGAAAAATGCAAGCAATCGATCACCTTGTTTGCTTTTGCTGTCAAAGTCCATTAAAGGATTAAAATATGCCAGAATTGCGACAAGGTTCACATGACGCTGACTCATATGATGGCCTCTGAAACTGAAATCAATGGTTTTTGAGTGTTTCTCGTACAGTTTCAGTCCTTTCTGTCCAAGTATAATGCTAGTACTTTTGCATTGTACACTTTATTCCTGAAAATTTGCAACAAGGCGCATTGGCCATAGAGGGCTCATTTATTTCTGGAAGAAACTAAGGTATCGGATTGCTTAGGGCAAAATGTATGTGTCTCAGTAGACTATAACTCGGCACTACTAACTTCAATTAAACCAGTTGCCCCTGGTAAGTGGAAATCCAGGTATTATTTTTGTTTTTCTCAGGCCCTTTTCAGGACATGTTATAAAGAAGTTTCAAGAGGTTGTAAAACAAACAATGCAAAATGCAAAGTCCATTGCAGAGTCCAGTCCAGATTTTTCAACTTGCCCTTCTTAATCTATTTTTATTCACTGGTTGATTGTACCGTGCATCAGTAACAGAATCACCGCAATCCATTCAGTTTTCTTGGTTATTTATTTTTACTATAATTTCTCTTGTTAAGAACAGCCACATCAGCTATACTTACCAATCGGAAAAGAAGCTCAATAGCTTATGCTCTTACCAATTTCATGTCCTTTTTCGTAACTAAGCAACGGCAACTAAGGACTTCCCGTTATTTTCGGAAAAGATGAAAAAACACAGGAAGTTTGAAAGAAAAACCCCCAGATTGACCTTAAAATAGAATTGCACTTGATGGATCAATTATAAAGTAAGCAAACAACCTGGTAATCTAAATGGAATGTAATTATCGTTTTCTTTTCGCTTTGACTTTGTTTCCACAAATAAATAAAGGCGGACCACCATGAATTTAGACACAGTGTAACTTTATTTGATTTACCACAAAATACAAATAACGATAAAACAAGACAGTTACACAAAAGCAAATGAAAGTGGCAAGGAAGCCCAAAAAGAAACCAGGAGGCTTATAGGCATTGGGCTCCCTCAGAGTAAAAATAAAGTTAACAGTAACAGTAAGGCCAGGATCGAAAGTAAAATACAATGAAGGTAAGTATAACTTAACTAATTACATAGACTGAGTAGACAAAATATAAAGTATGGTACATGTAACAATAAGTATAAAAATAATATCAGATTTGTGAAGAAAGATAACTATTTACTACAAGATTTATAACTAATAATTCATTATAATTTTTTTCAATTTCGTTTTGAATAAGTGGAGAAAATTAGATTCTTTAATATCATTTTCTATAGAGTTATAATAAGTAGGTCCTTGGAAACTGGCAGAAAATTTACGCAGGTTTGTTCTACAAAAAGGAAGGTGAAAATCGTTCGCGTATCTAGTGGCATAGCTATGGACTTGTTTGTTTAAAGAAAAATAATTGTTGAACTTTGGAGGCAAAAGAGAATGGTTAAGAGAAAACATAAGTTTACCCAATTCAAGTTGTCTAGTATCGGAAAGTTTTAGTAGCTCTAATTCTTTGAAAATAGGGTCTGAATGAGAATCGAAAGTTGATTTAGAAATAATTCTGATAACTCGCTTTTGCAAAGAGACAAGACGGCGAAGATTGGTTTTGTACCTAGATCCCCAGACAATAATACAACAATGAAGATAAGGATAAACTAAGCAATAATAAAGAGTTTTTAGATAGGGTTTAGGTAGAAAAAATCTTGCTCTATTAATGACACCTATTGATTTCGAGATTTTACGAGCTACTTGAGAAATGTGCGGTTTCCAAGACATGTTCATCAAGGACTACACCGAGGAAGACCGTTTCCTTAACCTGTTCGATTCTCTGTTTATTTATGCATATTTGCATTGGAAAATGATACCTTTTGTGTCTAGGCTTAAATAACATAAAGTTTGTTTTCTTCAGGTTTAAGGAGTGAAATCCCCTGTGCTGTGATAAGGCGTCTCAATGAAACAAGTTAACACAGGACGTATTCAGGTTACTCTGCATTACAGAACTTTTGTGCTAAACACTGAACGAGCTAATTGCTTATCAATTACTCATTCCGCCCAAACAAACTTGGTATATAAAGCTTAAATTTTCTGATTTCCTCTACGTCATAAAGTAAACTTTGCCGGGATAAGAACACTCAAACAAGGAACAACAACAAAATTCTAAATATTTTATTGTTTTTGTTTTCATTATTACTACTTGGTGCACTAAACGAAGATGATCCAAATTCTTATTCTCCTTTTGACACAGTACGCATTAAATCTTAAAATGAGGTTAAAAACAATTCTTAGAAAAGAGGGAAACATGAGAGGCTTAGGCCGTTTCAGAAATTCACAGCAGGCATTTGTCCAAGGCGTTTTTTAAAACTCTCACTCGGTCTGATTTGCCGTCCTTGCGGTTAGGCGTACGACAATCTGCGGTAAGATGGTTGACTGCACATCCAGTCATAAGTAATTCGATGTTACGTTTTCGATTTCCGCTAAAAAAATTTTCTCTAAAGAGACCTCCGTTTAGAACAGCGGGATCAGAAAACATTTTGATCTGAGGTTTTATTGGGCTATATAAATTCTTAGAAAAGTTGACATACTGACATTTAATTCCTCGGCACACCAACTACTTTTGCTTCACTTTAATCATCACACGCTAGAGACAAGTTTTGAGTTTATGTCTTATCGTAATTTTTTCAGAATAAGGAGGAGTCATCATGGCCGGACAAGTCGCTGCTGCACAGGTTGGAGTCGAGGTTCTTAACAAGGCGCTTGAAATTGGCTCGAATGGTTAGTGCATGAGAGTGTTATTTTTCAGAGTCTTCACAGCCAATAATATCGTGGTCTTTAACATCATGATCAGACGACCAAGAACTTTGAGACTGAAAATTGATCAATCAGGCCAATATCTAGAGCTAAATGCCATCAACTGACGTGATGCTACTCAATTTGGCTCTACTGCACAGGTTGTTCGAGATTCGATGTCAACAACAGTTTTTTGTTAATATTCCGAGGACTACACTCGCCAGGATGATCATATTAACTTCACCTATCTACTTGCATCTTAACTTGTAGCTATACTCGCATAACCTTTCATATCTACGTCTTAGCTAGCCCGCGGGGAGCAGACGCTTTTCTCGGCTTTTGTTTGCTCCCCGTAGGCTAAGCTTAAATATTCCTGATTTTTACATTTCATTCAATGTTTCAGCCTTGAACAGCATTTCCGACCATTACTTCGAAAACGAGGCAACGATTGCTTGGTGGAACGATTGGAAAGCGAGAGACCAAAGAGCTCGAATCGAGAAAACGTTTAATCACGGTCGTTTCTCCAGAGAAAAACGCACTTTAGGTATTTCATCCTGATCATTCTTTTTGTTTCATTCTTCTAACTGCCGCAGAACCTTGATTGTTTTCAGTAAACTTGGCCAAGGTGTAAGTCTTATAAATTAGAAAAATTTATTTCAAGAACTTCTCGATGTCAAACTGTTTCTCTAAAATTACATTCAGAATTTCTTTTTAACTGAATTCCATAACCTCTAACTGTTTACTCAGTATCGCTTAGACCCTAGTGAAAACAATAACTAGCAGGTATTTAGGTACGACAAGATTCTAAGCCAGAGATTAAAAGTGGATTCCCACCTCTATGAATGCTTTCACGACCCGACAACTTCTGAACTACCGAAGTCTACCATCTTGTAAACTTGAGCCTCAAATACAAGCCAATTTCTTTCAATTTCTTTTTTCCGGCAGAAGCGAGGGATGGAAAGGCTTAAGATTGACTGTCTTGAAAACACTGACTGACTCATCTCTTTTACCAAAGACACTGTGAAATAAAATGCACTGCCCTTGTGGACCAATAATTCGAAATATGGTTTATGATCTCGTTTTTTATATCCATTTTGGTCCCTTTAACCAATCTTGGCTATTCTTAATTTAGGTTTCGTCAACGGAAGATGGTACTGTTGCTTCACACAAGCGGGCTTACAGGCCAAAGGGCAACCCCTTGATAATTAGAGAAAAGGCCCATTGGACAGAAGGCAGAACCAGTCCTCAAAATCGAAGCTTCACATTAAAGCAGCGGCCAGTCTTAAAAACATGAAGTTAGAGACACCTGTTACACTGTCGGCTACCCACTTCCATGTATACTGAGTAGAATTAAAATGCATACCTTTGGTAAACAGTCGTTGAACGTTATAGCTACGGCGAAGTCGCATTAATTTTTAATTATTGGTATGGGGAATAAAATTACAAAATTAGATGGCATGCAATAGCGATAAGCGCTTATAAAGCTCTCCTTTGTAGCGGAGCAGTACTAGCAGCAGTATACTAAGGCACGGCAGAAGCCGATGGACATGGAAAATGATAATACCCTGTTAGTTATATATGCTATCCATATGAAGATGAATTGACAGCTGTCAAAGCCGAGTCTTTTTTTTTGTTTTTTTTTTACACTAAAATTTTAATGTCTGCAGTGGCGCGGATAACAGAGAGAGGGCTAGAGCGAGAGGTAAAAAACAAATAAACAAACAAACAAAGAAAAAATATAAGAAAAACATGAAAACTTTTTTTAGCGGCTATGTGAAAATGAAAAATGTTAGACATGCTAGCCGCCACACAGGTGAAAACCAGCGGCAGCGAAAAAGAAAAGAAAAGCTAAAAAGAGCACATACGAAATTTGCACCATAAAACGTTTAACTAGGGCCCCGTCCACAGGCAGGTATCCGGATATTTTGGAATACACAACATTTTATTTGCGGATGGCGGCTACCGTCCACACATATCCGGTGAATCCAGCGTACATATCCGCAACTTTTAGAATCCGCTTTTATGAAGTTATAAGGTGCGTCAGTATAACTGTGTATATATAAACACTTGGAGAGTTTGCCAGACACGAGTTCACAAATCTTTGATTAGAAACCTTGCCAGACATTCTTTCTCTCTCTCAGCCTGTTCCAGGTGTTCAGATGGTGGGGAGCGGACGAAAAATTAGTTGGGCCCGGGCTAAAAATTGACGAGGGAAAAAATAGGGCGGGAATAGGGATGGAACAGTCTCCCCTTGTTTTTTTCCCATAGCGTTTATTTTTGTGCTGGCCTCGTACGATTTAACTTGCTCCCCACTATCTAAACACCTGGAACAGGCTATCTCTCTCTTTGACCGCGATAAGACTCAGCCCCATACAAGCAAGACGAGTGAACAACAGCTAGCTTATCACTAGCAGAAAATTCAAGTTCTAATTAAATCTTTTCCTATGGTTTAGAATAAACTATTCTCGAAACTGAGAATGTTTTGATCAAAGCTGTGTAAATCGAACTGAAACTGTGCATGGAACGTTGCGTTTCCTTGTATTTATGTCACCCATTGTATGGAATATTTGTGAAAATCTTCATTATGAATCGGTATATTTCAAGAGCTACACAATCGATACACAACGAGCAAGAATACTTTTGAACGACAATATACAGAACGGGGGCAGCTGCAGTGTCAACTATCACTAGTTTGATATGAGATCAGCTTTAATTTGTCAAGTAGTTAGGTTACGGTTACTGAGATATGAGGAAAACCATTGGTTGGTTATAATCCACAGAATTCGTAGAAGTTGAGCTTATCTAGCAAAATATTATGGTCAACGGAGTGATATAAACTGTCGATACACGCTCAATGTATGGACAAGAAAAACTCGGCGAAGCAGTGTCTGCTGGCCAATTAATTATTCAGTTATCAAATTCTTTACTAGCTCAAGACTGTTCGTATCAACAACATTGTCATCATAATCATCGTAGTCGTCCTCACGTTCCTCCCCCTCAAAAGCCATTTCCTTTAAATGGTTTTTCATTAAAAACAAACAAAGAAATAAACAAACAAACAAAAATATGACATTTGACCACAATTTAGAAAAAACAAGACGCTAAAAATCACACAGACATACAGTTATTTACATTTATTGTCGTGATGTTTTTTTACTTCTCCACATAAAGCACTTCCTATTTATCCATCTAATCCATCACGTTCTAATAATTAACTGATAAATGGTAAATTTCCGGTTCACCTATTCAGTTCTAATTTTCCTTGGTGTAGGAAAATTGGAAGAAAAAAAAAAGAGTCATAAACTTTAACTTATGGAAAATGTTAAAGCTGTAATTAGGGAAAAACCAATCAAATTGGAATAATTCAAGGCAGCAAGTACCATGCAGTGTAAATTGTTATTTAAATGACTATACCACATCTCCTCAATTGAAATACAGCATAAGAATTGTCGCTGTTTCGCGCTATAATTACACTGAAGTTTAATTTATTTCTGTAAAAAGAGGAATTGTAAGCCAATTCATTTCATGAGGAATAAAGAAAAAGAGCAAGTCAACCTTTTAAAGCAAGTTTTTAGTTGTCTCTAACATTAAATGTGGTTAAGTGAACGTTACGATATATCGTTAACTGGCTTTTACACAGCTGTGAAATAACATTTTACCGCTCAAATCCGAAATCATCGTCACATAAGTTACATAAGAAAATGCGTATTTATTTATCTACTATTTTTTCTTTAATTTCAGGCTTTTTAATGATTAAACCAGTTTAAAAACAGTAAGAGCTAGCCCACGACAAATAAGAAAAAAAAAAATGTTATGACAAGCGAGCACCCAAGCTGGCCTCCAAGGAAGTATAATTTTACCAAAGCTTCTACTGGGCGTTCTCTATTCTAACCAACTGCCTCTTTTAAATATTTGAGCTAATAATTGTTCTAGTTGTTAACCGCGTCAGTTTGTTTACATTCGCGCTCGTTTCCGCTTCACGCTGATAGGCGGAAATCTGACAGCTCAGTCGACGGGGAGCCACAGGGAAATTGGAGGCGGAATTCAAATTCCAAAGACGTAGTTGTAAGCTCTACTTCCTTTTCCCGCCCGGCCGCCAGAGCACCCCGGAGAGCTTACTTGCAGGCTAATGGAGGGATTGCTATAATTCACCACAAAAGCATTTATAAAAACAGTGAGGGTTGGGTGGAGGGAGCCTTAATATGAAATGGCCGCGTAGTAAGATATTACAGAGTTTTTACATCCCCAATTATCCCTCGTTTTTCTTCGTAGATATGCACCTTTTCGCTTGCTTTCGCAACAAATAATTACAATAAAAATTATAACTAAAAATGCATATTAATAAACATTTGAAAGTAGAATAAGCAATTATTTTTTGCCAGGATATAAAAAAGCGAGCCGCAAATGTTGCTCAATAAAGACAAACAAGTCAGACTAAATTGGCACGTGTCTGGTTCCACTCCTTCATAACACCGGCACGGTCTCCATTTTGTTGTTAAATTTGAGCATAACTGGCATCGTGTCACTAACCACCCTTGCTAACCTTTACTAGTAACATGCACCTTTACACCTAAACAAAATAATAATAATGATAACAATAACAATAATAATAATAATAATAATAATAATAATAATAACAACTATAACTAAAAATGCATATTAATGTAGTACTGTCTAATTTTTATTTACCAATAAGTACAGCTGTATGCCAATCATTTTAGGTGGCAAGTGCTTTGTGATCGACAAAGAAACACAAACAAGTCAGAATATATTAGCCCCTGTCTGGCTCCACTCGTTCATAACGCCGACCAGTCTTCATTTTGCCGTTTTTAAAAACTGCTAGCGTCCTTTTTAAAGAAGGTAAGACAGTTTAGTTCCAGTAGAATAAGTAAAGTTTCATACGAGTTGAGATATGTCCAGGAAGGATCTTGTGAACAAAAATTGGTTAGCAAATTCTTTTCGCAATTTTCGCAAAAGAAATGATCCACCAGAAAATTTTGTGAGACAATCACTTGTAAATATCACAAGATTTGCAAGAATACACAATTTAAAAAAATTCTAGGCTTAGAAACACAAAAGGCCAAAAGGGGCCCCGAAAATCCCTTAAAATTAACGACGCAAACAACAAGGATTTTTCTTGCTACCTAAAACACCGAGTACAAATTTAACAAAACTCTAGACTTAGAAAAAACAGACCAAGAAGGGCCTCGAGAAGGAAACGAAAACAAAAAAAAAGTAACAAGGAATTTCTTTTCTACCCAAAAACACCGGGTAACATACACCCTTACTAACTTTAACTAGTAAAAAGCACCTTTACACATAAAATAATAAGTACCAAGAAGTAAAGCTCAGATACTTATCTTTTTTTAGGCAGTATATTAAATAGTGGCAAGTGCGTTGTGATTGACAAAGAAACTCAAACAAGTCAGAATACATTAGACCTTGTCTGGCTCCACTCGTTTATATCACCGGTCAGTCGTCGTTTTGCTGTTTTTTCAAAACTGCCAGCATCCTTTGAAAGGAGGTAAATATAATTCCAGTAGAATACGTTACGTCAAGTTACATTCGATTTGGCATCGCATTGTTTAGGTAAAGAGAAAATATAAATTCTTAATATTCTAAAGTGGCCACGGAACACACACAAACCGGCTTGCTTTTAATTTTGTCAGCTAAATTTGAGCTTTTGTGAACAGTTTAACAACACAAGCGACCAGTTTACTTTTTGAAAAAAAAGGACTAACGGCTTTATCAAACTTTATTTTAGATTTCTCCCCAAGTTTTTGCCTTTCTCTGCTACCGTAGTTGATAGCGGTCTCCTCCACTAACAACGAAAAACAGACGGCGTCTAAACAGGTGACCAGTTCACTGATAAGGTAGGCCAATGCTTCATTTCTGAGGGCTGAATTTCTTTGTATTAATACTACAAGATCGATGAATATACAAACAACACAGTCAGATCCTCTAAAGTTAAAAATGTGACTCAGTTCAAACAAACTGTCAATGAACCTGGCAGTTCCCCCAAAAAGTTTTTGTCCTTTGCATGATAGATTGTTAGTTTTTTATTTTAGTCTTAATTATGTCTAGTAGAGATCTTATACAGGAAACACCTATTAGCTAATCCAGCTTTTCAAATGGAAGGCACAAGCAGTAAGTTGGTTCTATAAAGGGAGGGAGGAAGGGTAGAAGCAGGCGTATAACACAAGAAATAAAGGGTCATATTTCCTTTAAAATACGTCTGATACGGAGGCTAAACTTGTCAGAAAATTGCAATCATGACAAAAATTAAAGGCTACGTTTGCGCGTGACCTCGAGGCTTATCTTGTTCTTCTATAAACAAATAAAGAAAAATAGCAATCCTTCCCATGTATCGCTTTGTTTTTGACGCCAAATGACGTCCGGAAAGCAGCCTAATAAAACCGGCGTCTTTTTACTAAATACTCTTTTCTCTCTGATCATGAAAACAATAAATGTATCTGTTCATCAAACATGTTTTTTAGTTATCGTTTATTTATAGTTGGTGCAGAAACTTTTTGAATTATTTAACAACTAAAAAGAAGGACCAGAAAACGCAAGGCTGGGCGCGAGTTTCATGATACATTTTCTTATATATATTTTCTCCTTGTCAATATTAAAGACAATTAGCCGCCATAGATTAACGTTGACACGCGTTTGTATTTTTGACCGAAAATCTGTGAGGGGGATATCTTTGAAAGGAGTTGTTGATCATGAAAGGGTCCAAGCAATAGGCTCAGCCGCAAGTTGCTCGGCAACTTTTTGGCAGCTTTTGAGATTTTGGGCAACTTTTGCGATTTTCGGCGACTTTTAAAATTCTTGGCAAGTTTTGGTTTAAAATATTTTTTACTTTTTTTGCGACATTTATTAGCTATCGAAAAAGACGTCAGCTAAATTCAACTGGTTTATACTACTGAGTGAGTGTGTGGACTCCAGGACTGGCCAATTACCAATGCCAGCTTGGTGTCGCACGCCTGTCCATTAGGTAAGCGGTATCACATGATCCGTTTTACAAAATGGCGGACAACAATGTCCAGCTGGGAAGAACGTGCCTATGAAGGGGCGATCAATTTAACTGTTGAATTTGAGTTCTATTAATCAATGAAGTTTTCTTTAAAAAAGGAAATACGAACAAAACCTACTTATACTGTGCACGATCGAAACCGCAACAAAAACCAACTTCAAGCGCAAACAAATGATAATAATAATAATAATAATAATAATAATAATAATAATTAATGATAATAATAGGAACTTTTCGGCAACGTTTAGGCACTTACGTCGGCAGCTTTTTGGTAATTCATCGGCAAACTTGTGGTTAAGCCACAAGCAAGCAACGGATCTTGAACCCAGCACTGCATCTTCTAAAAAATGAATTTAGTCCTTCATTACAATAGCTGCCAGTTCCGACTTATAAACAAAACAAAGCGGCGTACAGTTTCATTTCCGAACCTCTGCTTCTGTTTTTTTTTTTTTTAGAGAAAAACATGTATGAACAGCAACTTATTCTTTCATTAAACATTCAGTGAATATGTGTATGACTTTACGTGTAAAACGTCCACAAACTTAAGTTCACAATAAGCACCTAAAAAAATTGTTTTTTGAACTGCTACAATTTATTTTTACTGAAACTGAGTTTTGAGAAAGTTCGGCACTAAATCACAATGAAGCATAGTTGGCTTGATTGACTTTATATTTTATCTATTTCTTCCTCGTGAAACAAGTGAGATGTTCCGCCACTTTTTACTAATTACCAAAACAACTCAACCTCGTCCTTTGTCTTTTCCAGTTTTATCTTTTTAATAATCTGGCAATTTTGCTGTCATTTATTCACATATCATATATTAAGCGATGAATTATGCGTGGTATTATAGCCAATCCGAAACGGATAAATATTTAAATTAATAAGAGTCTAATAATTATGATCTTCCTTTACAGTGATCAAAGTTTATATATTGTTCTTACAGGTTAACAGTTACGACTAACACAAAATCAAGAAACAATAACACCAACGACGAAAATAACTCAACATGGTTTTTTCATCATCCGAGTGTATCATCTGGTTAACCGTATTCACCACCGAGTTTGTTGCTATAGTAACGGTGAATCTCCTTGCCATCATTCTTTTTATAAAGAACAGAAACCTTCGCACTCGCAGCATGTACTTGGTTATAAGCTTAACCGTGGCGGACATGTTAGTTGGAGTCCTATCCGTGGGTTATGTTCAATTTGATTTCCTACAGGGATGTCGCCTTATAAAATTGAATTTGTCTCGGGAAGTTGATTTTTCATTGTCGCGTTTTTCTTTTTTCTTTCCTTTTGTCTCCCTAACAAACATTGCTGTGATTTCTTTAGAGCGATTTCACGCCACGTTTCGTCCATTTAGGCATCGACTTATCAAGAGTTGGGTCTACCTGGTGGCAATTACTGCTGTCTGGGTTTTTCCTCTAATTGTTTCAGTCATTTGGTGGGTAGAGGTGCTTTCTTTGATTGGATATCACCTTTACATAATAGGATCCTACTGTCTTTTGTGTTTAATTGTTACCTTTGTTTCTTACACGTCCATTCTGTTTAAGTTTCGTTTTGGAGCTCATCCTCAGCGCCATTGTGCATCTCTTTTAAGACAAAGAAAACTAACTGTCACATTGTTTATAACAACTTTAGTTTCTTTACTGTTGTGGCTGCCATGCAATATTTATATTCTTGTTGCCTGGTCTTTGAATTCCCTTTCTTTCAAAGAACTTTTTGATTTGGAGTATTCTTTGAGGTTTTTGTTTTATGCAAACTCCCTTGTAAATCCCATTTTATACACAATCAGGATGCCAGACTTTAAAAAAGCTCTGCTCTCATTGTTCAGACGTCATCAAAGAGAAAATGTTGCTATCCCGCTAAATCATTACTAATGAGGAGATATCGCAAAATTTAATTAGTCAACTTTGTAAGTCGCTAAGAATTAAAAAGATGGAAGAGACCCTTAATGCAATTGTGTAAAAACATACATAGAAGCACATTTAAAGTTACATTAGGCTGTATGTTAAGGAAGCTGTGCGGAAGAAATAAAGATTAGACGTGATGAACAAGTGCTTAAAGTGTGTTCAATTGGGAACTCTGTTTTGGTGGAATGCGATGTAGGAAGATAAATAATGCTGTGTTAATACTTTGCCGGATAGCCATCGCGAAAGCAGGAAAACCATACCAGAAAGATACCCCTCGTCAACTGCCTTTTTCGAATAACCGCGTCAGTTTGTTTACATTCGCGTTCGTCTCCACTTCACGCTGATTGGCGGAAATCTGACAGCTCAGTCGACGGGTAGCCACAGGAAATTGGAGGCGGAATTAAAAATCCAAAGAAGTAGTTGTAACCTTTATTTCCTTTTCCCGCCCCGCCACCAGAGCGCCCCGGAGAGCTTGCTCGCAGGCTAATGGAGGGACTACCGTTATTCACCCGGAGGTGTGGAGGGGAAATGACTGCGTAGTAAGAAATTACTGAATTTTTACATCACCAATTATCCCTTGTTTTTCTTTGTAGATATGCACCTATTCGCTTCCTTTCGCAAGAAATAATTACGGTAAAAATTATAACTAAAAATGCATATTAATAAACATTTGAAAGTGCAATAAGCAGTTATTTTTAGCCAGTATATTAAAAAGCGAGCCGCAAATGTAGCTCAATTAAGACAAACAAGTCAGACTGCATTGGCCCGTGTCTCGTTCCACTCGTTCATATCACCGGCACGGTCTCCATTTTGGTGATAAATTTTAACATAACTAGCATCGTGTCACTAACATACACCCTTGCTAACCTTTACTAGTAACATGTACCTTAAAACCTAAACAAAATAATGAGAATCAGAATAATACAAATTAAAATTACTGGACAAGAACGTATCCCAGTTAAGATAACCATTCGTGTTAGGAAAAAACAGTGATTCGCAGGTGTTCTTGGCCCCTTTCTTGCTTTTGAACAATTCTTGCCTGTTCTTGTTACTCAGTTTAGCGCAATTTGTGGCATTATCCATGGCCTTCTTTACGAAATTGTTACTCAATCTTTTCTCATATATAGCAAGAGGAATTCTTGTTACTTTTGCGATTTTTGCGAAATTTGCTATTTCTTCTATACTTTTCTGATAACAGTTTTCTTTAAATCTTTTTCGCTAAAACTGCGAAAACAATTTGCTAGCAAATTTTTGCTAACTAAAAATGCATATTAATGAAGCATCAGTTAATTTGAAAGCGCAATAAGCAATTATTTTTAGCCAGTATATTAAAAAGCGAGCCACAAATGTTGCTCAATTAAGACAAACAAGTCAGACTACATTAGCCCGTGTCTGGTTCCACTCCTTCATAACAACGGCACGTTCTCAATTTTGTTGTTAAATTTGAACATAACTGGCATCGTGTCACTAACATACACCCTTGCTAACCTTTACTAGTAACATGCACCTTTACATCTAAACAAAATAATAATAATGAGAATAATGAGAATAATAATAATAATCATCATCATCATCATCATTATCATCATCATAACTATAACAAATTGTCAAACCTGATTGGCTGTCAACTGCCCTGATTTCAGCCTTAATTGGACAGTTTAATAGGACAGTACGCGTGATGCCTAAGTAATTGGACAGTACGCGCCATCACGCGCGCGCTTAAATGGCTTTTTTCACTGCTAGCAAAGCAAAATTTAGAATTTCTTGTGTTTTGATCTAAAAAATAGCCTATTATATCACAAATTTTGTTAAAGTTATGATTAATTGGTAACAGAACTTCGTGTCGTCCAATGCGGTCTGTAACAAGAGAGGATAAAGGGGGAAGAGAAGGCATCCCCCATACACACCCTATTCCATAGGTTTTTCGTCTCGAGTTATTTTTAAGACCACAGATCCCAAGGGGGATTAATTAGACAACAGCCAATCACATAACGCGAATGAGTTCCGCGTGGATGACCCACGCTCAGAGCCACGCGTCCTTCACGACAAAAATGGCGGAAGACGCGGAGAGCGATATTGCTATTCGTTTTGTCGACGAAAACGTTTAAGGAGAGATTTCTACTAAAGCGGAGTCAGTGAAATGGAAATTAAAAAAGAATCGCCCCTCCTCTCTTGTATAGGGCTAACAGTACAGCAGGGAAATCCTTAACACACTGAATATTCTCTCAAGATCATTTATAATTTACAGTTTGAAGAGAGCAATTTCTGGTTTGATATTTGATCTTTTATTAGTATTCTATCATTCAACAAAAATAACACTTGGCGTCCTACTTGCTTTATTGTACAAGCGACCAGTTTCAATAGACCGGCGAAATTTCTCATTTTATTAAAGCACTGAGGTTACGACAACTTCGAGTTAAACTGATTTCACGGGTGGTCAAAGAGTCCAGCTTTTCCCAGGTAAGCGCCGACTCATTTCGCTTCAATATTCAGAAGTGCTCTCGATCTCTTTACGCTTTCATTGCCTTTCGCCCGACATGTTTTGCACGGCGTTTAGTCATGCGAAACGTCCACGAAACATCCACGCAGCGCGCGAGGTAACTTCATCCCGCTTCTAAAAATAACTCGAGACGAATTACCCATGGAATAGGGTGTGTATGGGGGATGCCTTCTGTGTCCCCTTTATCCTCTCTTGGTCTGTAATCATACTCGTGATTAAACAAACGGACTCCCGCTACGCGGTCGTCCAAGTTTGTTAATCACTCGTATGATTAGAGACCGAATTGGACTCCACTCAGTCGTGTTACCATTACTAATAATAATAATAATAATGATAGTGATAATAGTAATAACTATAACTAAAAATGCATATTAATGAGGTACTGTCTAATTTTTATTTACCAATAAGTACAGCTGTATATCAATCATTTTAGGTGGCAAGTGCTTTGTGATCGACAAAGAAACACAAACAAGTCAGAATATATTAGCCCCTGTCTGGCTCCACTCGTTCATAACGCCGGCCAGTCTTCATTTTTCTGTTTTTAAAAACTTCTAGCGTCCTTTTTAAAGAAGGTAAGACAGTTAATTAATTCCGGTAGAATATGTAAAGTTTCGTAAGAGTTGAGATATGTAGCAAATTCTTTTCTCAATTTTTGCAAAAGAAATGATTCGCCAGAAAATTTTGTGAGACAATCACTTGCAAATATCACAAGAGTTGCAATAATAACCAACTAAAAAAAAATCTAGACTTAGAAAGAGAAAAGGCCAAAAAGGGCACCGAAAATCGAGCAAAATTAAAGGCGCAAAAGTAACAAGGATTTTTCTTGCTACCTAAAAACACCGAGTAACAAATACCTCAAAAATAGCAAGTTTAAAAAATTCTAGACTTAGAGAAAAAACAGTCCAAGAAGGGCCTCGAGAAGGAATTTCTTTTCTACCCAAAAACACCGGGTAACATACATCCTTACTTTGAACCTTAACTAGTAAAAAGCATCTTTACACATAAAATAATACGTAACAAGAAGTAAAGCTCAGATACTTATCTTTTTTAGGTTGTATATTAAACAGTGGCAAGTGCTTTGTGATCGACAAAGAAACTCAAACAAGTTAGGATACATTAGACCTTGTCTGGCTGCACTCGTTTAAATCACCGGTCAGCCTTTGTTTTGTAGCCTGTGTTGCAACCGGCCCACGCACTCGTCTAAACCATTTGTATAGTCCTAAAGTGGCCACAGAACACACACAAACCGGATTTCTTTTTATTTTGTCAGCTAAATTTGAGCTTTTGTGTAAAGTTTAATAACGCAAGCGCCCTGGCTAAATCTATATATTAAATAGTCTCACGTTTGTAACCGATGATTTCCTTTGCGCGAAAATGGAACGCATTACAAATTAAAATTACTAGACAAGAACGTATCCCAGTTAAGTCATAACCATTAGTATTAGGAAAAAACAGTGATGCGCGGATGTTTTTGGCCCCTTTCTTGCCTGTTGTTGTTAGTCAGTCTAGCGCAATTTATGGCATTATCCATGGCCTTCTTTTCAAAATTGTAACTCAATCTTTTCACAAAGCAAGAAGAATTCTTGTTACTTTTGAAATGTTTGCGAAATTTGCTATTTCTTCTACACTTTTCTGATAGCAGTTTCCTTTAAATCTTTTTTGCTAAAATTGCGAAAACAATTTGCTAGCAAATTTTTGCTAACAAGATCAATCCTGGACATAAGTGAAATTTTAGGGGTTAAACAAGGTGCGTTATACGGTCTATGTGAAAGTAGTGAATTAGTTTTCTTTTGCATGGCTTTTAGAATTTACGAAGTCGTTCGTGAGGATTGTCAGCTGCGTAGTTGCTTTGTTTGTTGAAAAGCGAGTTATTGTTGAATTTCAGGTTTTTCAATATGGTATGACAATTTAACAAAACCTATCAACTTGAAGAACTAAAAAAACAGTTTTTTAAAACCTTTGTGAAAGATTTTTAGATTGGAAAAGTGAAAGGAATTTTGCAATTTGATTCTGCACTTTTGCTTTCGATCATTAGATAAACGTTAAAACGCAGGAGCCTTTTAAAACAGCATGAAATATCCTTTTTTATGTGTCAGGATGAAATAAAAAAAGATAATTTTGAAACTCGAATTAATTTAAAATTCCCTTTAATGAGTTAGAAAAAAATTATTATCATACTGAGGGGAAGCTCAAAACAACCTTTGTCGTTAGAGATCAATAACACCTAGTTTTTCCGATACAGAATGGGATTAACATATTAGCTCTCTATTAATTTGCTTCCCTTATAGGCATTTAGTCACAGCCAGATCACCTTAAATTGTAACAAAACCACGACTTGTCAAATTATCATGACGATAGTTAACAAATATTAAACCTGCTTTCATAGTAGAAACCCTTTCTCTGAAATGTTATTAAGATACGTCAGTAAATAAGCGCCAACCCACGACATGATCCAACCCACCACGAAAAAAGAAAAAAATATATATATATATATATATCTAGCCGGATTTATGAAAACCGTAACATCGGACACCAGGAGCCCACACACCTTAAACTGACTCAACTAAAGTAAATATCGCCAAGAAACTCAGCTCTTACCCATGGTTCTCTTAAGGTGACTCTCTTCTTGGTTCCTGATTAGCAAAAGAAACATTCAAGTCCATCAAAAAGACACTCTGGACTTGTCCATACACTCTAGCTGCTTAAAGGCCCTGAATGACGGAGGACGCTTGAGACTTCAGCAAGTTCTAAGCAGAGAATTCAAGGTTAAGTCACCCCCCCTGACTTCCTCCACCCCCCCCCAGCCTAGCACGTGCTTGAGGGGAATGCTTTCACTGGTCAATGGGCCTCAAACGTTACAAGAATTTGACATGACAAACTAAAGGCAGACGTGACCAGTGCACTGACTCTCCCAGACCAGGACTAACGGAAGGTACAACGCTTTTGCAGCAGCCTCCCCCCCTAGGGATTGACATGGAGGCCCCTTTCCAACCCATGGCGAGTTAGCTCAGGGACTGAACTTGACAATGAGACCAAGCAGGACAGCAAGCCCCCTATGTTTTTTCTCAGCGCAGCGACCAGGAAGCTGGCTATGGCCAGCTTTCTGTGCGAATATTCTGGTGCATTTTCAGGTAGGTTTTCAAAAATTCGGCTATATATATATATATATATATATATATATATATATATATATATATATATATATATATATATATGTTACCAACAACAAGGGCGCACTGAAGCTTAGACTACGAGCAGTTTTTTTTTCTTGGTCTGTCGAGACAAACGCGCGATACACGCAAATGACCACGCACGTGACTGTAGGCGCGAGACGGTCCTCGTTGGATTCTCTTAAAATGCATTTTTTTCGCTTCCGTCCGTTATTAAGATGATTTAAAATAGACAAAAAAGCAATAATTAAAATGTCTATTAACGATTGCAACTTACTAATTCATACATGCGCTAAGTTATTTATTTTAGGCAATTATATTAAACAGTGGCAAATTTGTCATCGAAGCACAGGTAACCCAGGCTCCGTGATGGTACCACAGTACGGTTCCAGTAAAATTACAGTGTTTGTATGGGGTAAAAATACCATCCTAAAATTTCTAGGAAATACTAAATAAAGATCAATGAAACTTACTCTGCAGTTAGTTGTTGTTGTCCTTATTGCTCCAACGAAGTTTATTCGTGATAATTTGCAGTAATTTGTTCAAATTCACTCTATATACAGTAATAATATACAAGGTAGGAGACAACGGAAAATAAACATGCCAGGATCGTAGCAATAGGATAGCAGGAGATATAGAAACCAATGAAGCTTTCCCAGATAGAAAAACGAATCCCGCAGACTTTGACAAACTCGAAGGATGTACTCCAAAAAGGCCGAGAATATGCTCGCCGAAGTAGCCGGGCCAGATCAACGCGCGGCCAAGAAAATGAGGCCTGCGCACTGTACAAAAAAAATCCATCCCGGGTGTCGTAGATTGACCTTTCTAGGGACCGATACATAGCTTTACCAAAGTTAGCCACCCCTTCTGGAAATACATTTGCTCAACGGCTATTGTTCACTTGAGACAAAAGCGACTCGCCCAAGCAAACTATATGTTCCAGTGCACGCGTCGGATATAATAATTTTCAGGAAATGCAGTAATCCGTACAATTTATGTTCATTTTAATTGGACTATTTTTTTAGGATAAATGGTCCACTCCAAAACTTTGCTAAATTCGCAGAAGTCTTTCATTGTAAACCAGGAACTCCCATGAACCCGGAGAACAAGTGCTCCTTGTGGGGATGAAATCTGGTGTCCAATTGTTGTGCCACCCATGTGGACCACAAAACTTGTTACATGCAACAGCAACAAAGATTGTTAGGATTGTATAAATATTGAAATGTAGATATTAGTGCTTTGCAAGACGACGGGCTTTAATTCTATCTAAGACCTAAATATTGAAGAAATATGATTAGGAAACTGAGGATTGAGTGTACATATAAATTTGAAGACCCGGGTGTTTAAAAAGCTTTAAACTTCAGTATAAACACTGTCGCATAATAATCGAATATTATAAGTAGCATAACTAATTTACTTATTTTGTCCTCAATGGGGTCAATCCGGAGGGGGGATACTGAACAAATTTTTATGCGGGGAGGCTCCGCCCCGAGGTCCAACCTCTGACCCTTTTATATAACATTTTTCACGAGAAAGGTACCCCTTTCGTATATCTTCTATTGACAAATGGTACCCCTTTCACATACTTTGTTAGGAACTTTGCATCCCTTTTAGGGACCGGTCATTATTTATCGCCGGGGGGGGGGGTCGGAGGATTTTGGGCTAAACATGATGAAATTTAGCCGGTCCCCCCTTTAAATGTTATTTTATTGAAGTGATCCCCCCTCATAACTATATATAACTTTCGTGATCCCCCCCCATGTCTTTGTACCCATAATCACCTTTCGACGTGTATATTTAGTGTTTTAAACGTTCATATACAGGTAGTATTTCTAACTATGATGTACTTACAGCATAATAAAGCCGTTATCGCGCAGTCTTTTTTTAAAAGTGTCTCTTGATCCGTGTCTTTTTCTAGTCTGGATCCAGACATCTGAATTCAGTTGACATAAAAGCAATCTTGCTTAAAACTGCAAAGTGCTTGAACCTGCAATCAGTGCTTGAAACTGCCAAGTTACTTTTTTTAGAGTGCAGTCCGCCAAGTCCCTATCAGCAGGTCATATTTAGCGACAATTCGGCCATCTGGAAGGGCTAGGATCGGCCGCTGTTCCTGTCTCCTTTTTTATTTTCATCTATAGTGTAATAGATCAGCCTTTGTAGCTTTGCTCACATTTTTATAATTTTTTTTTTGTTCGTTTTTTTGTTTGTTTTCTTTTTGTTTTCCTTTTTTTTTTTTTCATCCAGTGTTCGCTTGTACAGTAACTTCAGCTATTTGGTCATCTGGCACAAAAGTTAAAACTGGCATAGGAACAGTTGACTGTTCATCGAGATCAGCAATGACAAGATCATCTTCGCTATCCTCGTCATCATCTAACTCCGTATCTGATTCTTCACTCTCTTCCTCACTGCTGGACAACTCATTCCCGTTGCCTGGACTTCTCTGTCGATAGTAATGGTAGCGAATTGCCTTTATCTTGTCCAGCTTTATACCAACAGTGGTCAGGCCGTGTTCCTTAAGGTACAGGTCGAGCTGTCTCACCTTCAGCTTTTCAACTTTGCCATTCTCAATAAGTATGCCCCACTGGTAGTCCTTGTATGTTATTTAGTTCCTCTTCTAACCTTTGTTTCTCCTTAGCCTCTCTTGTTCTAATATCCCCTTTGATGTTGATATCATTTAGATGGCCTAGGTATTCAATGACATGCTTTTCCTCGACACTATAGGTTGCACAGAAAGCAGCGATGGTATTTGGATTGCCCGCAGAGATGGCGTTTTGTTCGTACAAGTCCTTCAGACATTTCCTCGGTTGATAATAGTCTGGAGCACGACCTGTTGTCGGCGTTTCGTACACATCCATAAAGTGCCCGGGAATTTGCTTGTCTGGCACAGGCTGAGGGATTCTTTCTGTTACTGGTCCCACCCATCTGTTGTTGGTACACCAGGAACAGAGTGTGTGTAGCTTGCATCGCTTTGCTTATTTCAGGCATCCCGACAAAATTCAAAAAAGAGCTCTCCCCGGACGTAGTGGTCCTCAATAAAACTCTCTATTTTATTAAGATATGCCGCACCGGGTATTTCGGCCTTACTGTTTTCTGAAGCATTTCGGTACGTATTTAACTCAGAAGCATTAAAAAAGAATAACTCTTCGGGAGACTCACTCACTCTACTAGTGATGTAATCCTTCAGGACAGGGGCGTCGTCTATCCTTTCGGCGACCTGCTTGCAAACGTGCCAAGCATTTTTTTCCATACGCTCTTTTTCGTACTGTTCGTAGGAATGGAGAGACATGGCTTTGATTTCGTCTTCAGAGAGATCTTCGAATCGACGGTACTTCTTCCATTCCAGCGTTGCACCGTCAACAAGAGCGCCTGAAATGGCCGAGTTTGTGCGCTCGGCCTCGCCTTGCCCGCTGTCACCTCTCGAGCGATGGCATCGTACTCGATACTCCGAGTTGTGGATTCGCGCCAACTCAGCGTCGCGAAAGCGAACTTCATAGTTAGAAACACCAACCCAGGTCCGGCATCCGTCAAATCTGCCCATCTTGGCTTCACGGGTGGCAAGCAGAGATCACTAACTATTTCGAGACCCTGTTTTCAAGGACGGCTCACTTTCAAAACAGATTGAACTCTAGATTCTGCGGTGTCAACTGGAGCATCACTGTTTGCTACCTCGTCAATGGCATTTAAAATGTCTTTGATGGTCGGAATCACACGACAGGCAAGCAGGGACTTATTGTGGTCAGACATTTCTGTTTTCTCTGACAACTGCAGCATTTTTTCCAGCCTTAGTTTTAGATGACCTGCTCTTTGCTTTTCATAGGCGTAAAATTTACAGTTATGCTCTTCGGTAATTTTGTTTAAGTCGTCCGACTCTGTCATGTCATAGTACAAAAATAGGTCATCGTGCAATCTAGCGCAGCATTTGCGAAATCCAAGAGAATGTTCAGCGTTTGTTTCTGTCTTTTCAACTTCAAAAGCTGCTGGATCCTCGTGTCGCAAGCGAATTGTTTTGCTTGCCCAGACACTCCCTGAAGATCCAACTATTGCCCTCGGCCGAACGATCACGTGGTGCCGATCATCCTCAGTTACAAGCTTCTCATCATTGTCGGCCATGACGCTAGACTTAGTGAAAATACGATGTGATCCGGGAGTCACATAGACCATCTTTTTCCTGCCAATCATACTTTGGCAACTTTCTCGCTTTTTCTTCATCTGTAAGTGTCAAGATCCTTAGATTTCGTGCTTTCTCAAAACCCTCCGAAGTCCCAGGTCGGAGGTAAGCTTTGTCGTCCATGCTTCTCTTGAAGCAAAACTTTGTACTCTCAGCATTTTTAGCACCCCAAAATCGCTTCTTTATGTTCTTAACGTGGGCTCTTTGATAATGGGTGTTTTCATTACTCTTTTCCTCGCCTTTGGGTGGTTTTTTCCAGCAGAAAAGACCCTTTCCAGTATGTCGCTTCGCTTGCACGCTTCTTTTGTTTCGCGGTCTGGCCCTGTTGTACACTGTTGTAGCTGAACGTATTAACTATCGGCTTGCACAGCGTGGGAAGAAGTTGGCTATGGTAAGCAGGTTCTTCTTCTTCACTCTCTGGCTGGTGTACAGAACTGTATCGTGCCGTCTGCCGTGATAGTTTGCTTTGTCTTCTATTGCCTTTGCTATAAAATCTTCATCATCCCCGTGTGACAGACTTCCGTTTTTTAAATAAAGTTGTGTTAGAACAAATTGAGATTGCAAATGCTATCATCTCCCAGTAGAATGGGCACATTTATGTTGTATGCTTTCAAACTGGCATTGTTCAAGCAGATTTGAGTGGTCCCCCCTCTGAATCCTTCCAAAATTTTCAGTGATCCCCACCTTTTGGGCTCTCAGTTACGACTGATCCCCCCCTCTGTTCTCCTAAAAATCAAGTGATCCCCCCAAAAATCCTCCGACCCCCCCCCCCCCCAGGTGATAAATAATGAACGGTCCCTTAAGTGCTGTAAATGCACTGCCGTTTAAATAGGAATCAATCACAAAAATAGAACGTTTTCTCAACTTTATAAAGCCATAAGGCAGACCCAAATGACGGATTTCCCTTCCCTTTTCGTATACTTCAACGAGTAAAATCCCTACCCTTTCATATACCTGAAGCCTTAAAAAGTTATCCCTTTCGGGCGGAGCCTTCCCCCCTAGGGGGGCCAATAACTGTCCACAATCATTCAAAACCTATAGCTCTCTAAAGCCAGGGTGAAACGAATGTTTTTCATGAGACAAATGTACTGTCCCAATTAGTATTAATCATGGCACATTTTTTTAAACCTGTCACAATTTGTGAAAAAACCCATTGCACTTTCTAATACCTGTTACAGTAAGCAATGAACCGTTTCGCTCTTATGGAGGCTGAAATTTGTAGTAAGTGTCCATTGCACTTTGCAATAAACTAAGTAGCCGTAATTTATGATAATTCCAGAGCAGTTGGTAGCTGACCATCACTAAACTCGTCGTCTAGGAAAAAAAAAAAACAGAAAAACCTCAGAGGGCTGGCCCCCGATCCTTATACGTCCGAGTATACGTCCCAGGGATAAAATATCGACTACCAAAGCTCACATGATAGAAACTCCAAAAAGAACGAGCTCTTCTTTTCTAATGACACTCAGCTTTAAGTCAACGAATACAAACCAGTTGCACTGTCCCACATCGCGTCCACTTTGTATAATACGCTATCAACAACGATCCCCTGTTTATAATATCCCAATTATCTACAAGTTAGCTAGAACAATCTGCTATTATTGCTGTGGTAAATTTAAATGCATTTTAACCCTCGGACGTACAAGGGATTGGGGGTGGTGTTCGCCACCCAATCCCCTCCCCCCCTCTCCTTGAGCTTTTTTCTGAGTTTTTTTTTTTTTTTCCTAGTGGGTAAAACATCAGCACGTGATGTTTTCAGTACATGTTCGTTTATCCTTCGAGCGCATTTTTAGTCAAGTTTAGTGATAGTTTCTATAGTTACGAGATATGACGTAATAAGTAGAAGGTGGTCAAGCCATTGTTTTCTTTTTTACCTTTTTTCAACAATAAAATTAAATCTTGTGGCTAAAATTATGCAAAGTGCTTATTTATGTGTTTTTGTTCATGTCAAGCACAAAAATATTGCCATTTCTCGCGGTTTTATCCTGATTTCTAAATCTTGGTAAAATCCCAGTCACAGGCCTCCAGCATCGCCACCATCCACAAAATAGACCTTATCTTGTTAAGAAGATCAAAGGCTTTCCGCTGAAAGTAAAATCGTTTTGAAATACTGCAACTTATCAAAAACTCTGGGAAAGGGTTCCATTCATCCCCCTCCCTTTAGCTTGTACCACAGTGGGGTATGGGTTTGCGTGTACGTCAGTGTAGAAGGGGCGTACATTTAGAAAGCTGAATAACCGCTTTAATTCTCTTAACATTAAAAATATCGTGTATCTTCTAGTTCTATTGAAGTTTTCAAACAGTTTTGATGCATATTTAATTAGTTAAAAGAAAAGCTAAAGACATTTCTGGACATGACGTCCAAACTAGTATGAGTGACAAGACGAGACGCCTGGCTTGTCTGGATTTAAACAGAAATGTCAAAGATAGAATAATAATAAATGATGATAATATGGCGATAATAATTCATGTGACGGTTTAACACAAATGTCAAATTGGCTGTAGACAATCAAAATATATATTCCTTTAATTGGAATATCAGGTTAATAAAGGCCCATAAACTGAACTTGCGCCTATATGCGTTAAAAAAAGTGTCGAAGGCAAACCGAAAAAGGCCACTTCCCTTTTAGTAATAGAACATGTTCTCGCCAGATGAAAAAGAAAGCGAGTCAAATCAATCGAGTGATCAATAAAATCGCCTCAACCTTTGAATCAACTCGCTAAATTAAAAAAAAAAAATGTTTTTAAATTGTCTATAAATGTTAAAAAATTTAATTGCCTCATACTAGAGCTATTGAAATATCCATTATATGTGAGAACATCTGAACAATCAAAGTTCCTGTGACTGTTATGTCAAGTATTACAAAAAATTCATAAAAATAACGCCTGGAAGGTACCGAGAGATGATAAATAATGGAGCTTAGTAATACAGAATTTAAAGATAGTTGTTATTTTTCTGTTTATTGATCCCATTGAAAAACGCCAACAAAAAGAAAAAAAAAAACTCAAACGCGCGCACAAAGACGAGCATCTCTAATGTTGTCAATGGTTGTTCCGTGTTTTGACCATTCTCGATCTTAATTGCATTTCTCTTAACACCTTGCGATAATACTTATTACAGGGGGTGATGTTAATCAAGAGACCGTTTTTATTTTGTTATGAGACGGTCGCACACGCGGGCGCGGCTTAGTATGGAATGGCCATGGTAATTCTTACAAAGGTTCCAAGCCTTCATAACACTAAAAAATGGAAAATGCACATCACAATAAATTGATTTTTGTTGTTTTGATTAACATTTTCCATGGTATTTTAGCTTTGACGTTTTTTTTTTTTGCTTTGGAAGATAATTGAACAAGAATTATTTGGTTGCTTCTAGCTCCACTGCTCTTTCATAACGTCTGCGGGAAGGCGATGAAAAAAAAGCAGCTTTAAGAAAAACTAGAATTACATTCGAAATCAAATTGTTTACTTAAAAAAAGGTCTAACATTAGGTTGCCACAATACTGTAAACCCCTGGTGACACTAAACTGACAGATTACATTTAAAGATCATATCATGCAGATTTTCAGGCAAATTTTGCATGTGCAAAAGGAAGCCAGAAAAATTATTCTGCACAATAGTGCATCAAAATTAACCCAAATACCGAAACCGCAGTGTTTATAAATCAAGTGCGTAGATGTTAAGCGTGCGATAAACATACGATCGTCAAGCTCGTTTTTGTTCATTACCTCACTACAACAGCTGGGGTTCTCTAGTACTATATTCATTACTGACCTGGATCATAAACTCTGAAGGAAAACACTTGACTTTAATGAGGTTCTTTCACCTAATTGTCGACCCTGAAGGGGATTCAGATTGACTACGTTGGGCTGCCTTTGGGTTTCGAAGGGCACATAGCACACACACACGAATACTAGTTCAAGTATGAAATCAAATTCTATAGTCCTGCATTCACAACCAGTAGGACGAGTAGCAATTTTTAGACCACACCATCCTCATACTTCGATAATCTTTTAACCTTTGTTATGAAAACTTTCGTAACAGACAAGAAAATAATAATGATATTGAAATCAATAAAATCGAAAATTGAGCTAGCAGAATACTTTTTCATTAACAGGCACTCGCGCGCGTGTAAATTACGCATATCTGACAAATCTAGCTGGAAATGGATCTGATGCAGACGGCTGTTTGATTCAGTTTTCAAATAACCAGTTCGTGTTCACCTTTTAGGATTTGTAGAGTTATCATACTTTAAAAAAGGAAGCAGATCATTGCGAGGCAAAATTTTTTTTCATCAATAATACCGCGACGTAAAATTAAAATTGCCGCCCACCCGGCTTGGACTTTGAACACTGCAGTACCGTACTTTGAAATAAAAATTACCGCAAAACCGCGTTACCCCAAACCCTTGAGATCCCCTCTTGTTTTTGTGTCTTGTCGCCAATAATTTCCCCATATTGGCCTCGAAATCATGCTAAGACCTATCTCGACAAAACGCCGTAGGGGAATAAGGAACTTGCTTATTGCCACAGATTGTTTATACATTGATGGACCCATTATAGAGTGAAGGTCAACTATAAGCTTTGATTTCTAAATCTATCTTTATTTACAGAAGGCCTATTTAGAAGAAAATCGAGGTTATTATTTTTTTTGCCACTCATATTCTTCTTACAGTAGTAATTTCGTAAGACATATCTAGTAGTAGGAAGATCTCAGCTGCAAGCTTGTTATAGTTTTTCTAAGGCGATCTTCGACTTTATGAGTACAATAAATTCTATGAAAATTGCATCAATGACGCTGGCTTAATTAAATTGAATAACATATAGCAATATGGATAACTGGTAGGTTAATAGGTTAATAATATAGGTTACCGGGTATCGTGTACAATAAAAGGTAGCGTTACAAAGTACATAATTTAGTTACCTTTCAGTGGAAAATTATTTTTAGCGTCTCTTTCTTAACGCTTACATAATGACAACAGAGCTTTTTTAAACTCTGGAATTCTGATACTGTACACAATGGGATTTACAAGGGAGTTTGCATGAAGTAAAACAAGCAATGCATTTTTTAAACGGATAGGTTGTAAGGGAGATAAAAAGGAATATAAACTCGGGGTTGAACAGGCGACACAAAAATAATATTATATGGCAGCCACAACGCTAAAGATACCAAAGTTGTTACTAACAATGTCACAGTAAGTTTCCTTTGTCTTAAACTAGCTGCAGCAACGCGCTGAGGATGGGCTCTACAACGAAACTTTAAGAAAATAAGCGTGTAAGAAACGAATATACTAAAGAGACACAAACAACAATATATTGGAAACGAAAAATAATACTTCCGCTCGTTTGAGACCAGGTAGATCGGTAATTGGAGAATCGCTTGTACAATGCCAGGTAAAACCCAGATAGCAGCAATTGCTAAGAAGTAGACCCATGTTTTGGTGACACGATGTCTAAATGGAAAGAAAGTGGCGTGAAATCGCTCTAAAGAAATCACAGCAATGTTTGTCAGGGAGACGAGAGGGAAGAAATAACTGTCTGCTAATAGTAAAGATTGTACTTGCGAAGAATAATCGATTTGTACGAAGTTACAAGCCATCAGAGAATAGATTTGTGCAACACTTCCGGAAAATACTCCAACAAACATGTCAGCCACGGTCAAATGTGTAACCAGGTACAATGAACGAGTGCGAAGATTGCTGTTCTTTATAAAAATGACTATGGTAAGAAGGTTCACTGTCACTATAGCAACAGACTCGGTTAGGAATACAACCAGCCAGGTGATGCACTCGGTAGAAGACAACATCTTGAATCCTTGTTGGTCTTAGCTGGTTTTAGCCAGAAAACTGTCGAAACAAATGCTCGGATAAGTTCATTGTCATTAGGGGAAGTGAGCGCAACTTCACCTTATTTTAGACTGATATTGAAGTAAACAGTTTTTACACGCATATCTGCAATTCAGCCTCTGTACACATTGCTTGTGTGTGTGTGGTGCAGTGAGGAGGAAGGATCACTTAATTAGATGAAAACCCCGGGTGGGGGGAGAAGACTCTGCATATGAAAGGGGTGGGGATGCTCGTCGGAAATTTTGAATTAAACTCCTAAAGGAGACCGATCTAAGAGTGGCCCAAGCCTTTTTTGACCCCTAAAAGAGACCATGTTAAAACACAGACAAATGAAAACAATGGACAAAGACGTCTTCTCTAAGTATTGATGTTACAGAAAACTTAGATTATATAAGTGGAGTAAATAAAATGAATTAAAAATATACATATCAAATATATATATTTTTATATGTTTTTGCATGCAACCCTAAACGAGACCTTCACGGCTAAATATGATGGCGTTTTGCCCAAAACACCCTAAGTGAGACCAAAATCCGAATTTTACACCCCTAAGCGAGACGACGAGCATCCCCACCCCTTTCATATGCGGAGCTCCCCGGGGATAAAACTCTTTTGAAAATACTATTAACTCATAAACACTCTGGTCAAGCGAACAAAATAAGATCTCTGACAAATAAGACAAAGGAGGGGTATAAAACTGATTTCCTTAAATTTTTAAACAGTTTTGAGATTCGATCACCTGCATCTAGATGTTCAAGACATCGAGACACTCACTTTATAATTTCAAATTTTCTAACTCTACGAAGACAGGAAACAAAACACATCCACTTTTTTCAGATTGTAACAATATCTTTAGACTCTAGCTTTTCTATACCTTTTCCCCCCAAAATCAAGTGACATTTTGAGAGCATAAAGTAAGATTAAATGTGCGTTAGGCAGATGATAAAACTGAAAGCTGCATCAAAATTTAGACTAAATATAAAGTACTGTAAGGCAGACTGTTGAGGTCATGATGATAGCATATCAAGTACTCTCTTTGAGTTAAAATTTTTTTTCGTTATACATACCGGTAATGCAAATGTTGTCGACGGACGGAGAAGCTGTTTTTCCTAACCATGCACTGCACTACTAAAATCCAGAGGGTAAATCGTTCTTAAATATTCTCTCGTAATTCTAAAGCCAATAAAGGCTGTACACTTTAGCAATATAAGTGGGAACTTACAAAAGCAATACACATTCACGTTATATTATGGTACACAACTAATATACGGCCGGCATGCTAGCACACAAGAATATCATCTATCATCAGTAATAAACTATTTACATCCCTCTGCAGAAAACCAGATAGATTCACGAGTTCAAAAAGTTATTTACCATAACAACAACGTGTTTAATTACTGTAAATTGATATGTAGATCTCAGTACTAAAGATATAAAATTTAGCACATAAGTATAAGATAACTGTGGGCCTACCAATTAATAGACCTTTTCACGGCACCCATATTGAATAAGTTACATTTAAGAAGTATTTTTGGGATGCCCAGGGGGCATGAGCACATTCCGATGTATTCGCTTAGTATTAACGCGCGCCTTTAGGGGCATTTTTCTTAAAGTTTTCGTATAGTATGTCTTTTTCAACAAAAAGATTGTAAAGGGGAAAAAAATAAATAAAAACTAAAAACACGTTGTGCCGTGTTAGGATGTAATAATGATCGCCTTTTTCCCGAAAAAGACTTGCGATATTCTAATACTAAGCGAGTACAACGGATCGTGCTCATGCCCCTTGGGCATCCCATAATACTCCTTAAATCGAATTAATTCAATATGGCCGCCGTATCAGTAATGAGGTCTATTGTGACATCATTTGTTAAAAGCATGATTAAAAAGCTGTTGAGTGATCAGGGTTATTAATTACAAAATTAAAAACAAAATCAATGAAATGAGCAAAAAATCAAGGGCGAAGGATAGGTACTTTTAATTCCTTCTAGTAGGACGTGAAAACCTGAAAACAAAGTGAGAAAGAAACCATCTGTTAACCAACCGTTCATAATGTGATATAGTGCAGCGTCGCTCGAACCAAGATCTCGTGCTTTTCCGGTGTGCGTTTTTCTTATCTCCCGAAAATGTTGACAATGCAGGCTTTAACCCTATCAGCAAAACCACTGGCTCCTTTTCAGACGTTTATTACTTGTCCAAAAAGAAGCCAGATAATATTGATTAGTCAAAATTGCTACTTCACATCATGTCACTAGACCTAGGTCATTGAATATTTATAGTGAATTATCATGCCTGTTATCACTAAGGTAAAACCAGATTATTTAAAGATCGGTACTGGCTGGTCAAATAATACTATTGGCTTCTCAAAATTGCATTTTTAGGTCAGTAGTGTATAGTGGACAGATCTATAAGGCCCGGTTCAGACGCCGAACTTTTCATGAGCCGAACCTAACACTTTGAATTAAGTACATATAGTGAAAAGTTCGGCATCTGAATCAATAAGGAACGCCTACTTTAATCTGGAACGGCTCATGATCAGCCGTTCTTTCCGCCTAGACTTTGAAACGGCTTTCATTGAGACCCCGAACTTTTCATGTGCCTAACCTATCTAATGCATAAATCATGATAACGTATTTTACAGGCAGTTTGACCAAATGAGCATTTAGATAGTCGCCGGTATTCAGGTCATTTTATTTACCTCTATAATAAAGGATAAGATAATAACACTATGCACTATGCAATAGAAGAGACAATACATTCATTTAGTGACGCAAGCGAGAAGGCAAACACACGTCGACCCATGTAAGGGAATCCAGATTCTGGAATCCGACAAATTTTTCCTTGTGGAATCCGGTATCCCACTAACGATTGGATTCTAGAATCCAACGTTCCACTGACAAAGACTGGAAACCAGTAAAGGAAACCGGAATCCAAAGCGCGGAATCCAGAATCCAAGACTGTCCTGGATTTCCTTATATGGGGCGAGACACAGACGCCATTTAACGTAAAAACGGCTTGAACCAAAGCACCAGTGGTGGCACAAGCACAAAGAGCCGAGTTTTCTCTCTCTGTTTATCTTACAAGTTTCAGCTTCTCTCTTGAATTAATTTTGCTACAAATAAGATAGAAGAAATTGAAGTAATTTTTAGTAGGACGAGTTCCGTCGTCGAGAGCAGTTGGAACAAGGGTAAAAAGTCTAAAAAGGTTTGCCGTTACTTCTTTCGGATCCTCTCCCTGTTACGGAAGTTCATTATTAACATTGACGTCGGCAAGATTACGTCGCGAAGACTTGAGCCGCTAGGGCAGCAATTGCTACAGAAAATCTCAACGTGTAGAGGCCATGAACTCCTTTTTTTCGGTATTTTTCATTAAAGCTCTTACTTAACTTCGCTATCATGGGCGTAGCTTCCTGTGCGTACTTGAGTAAGTTAAATTCGATGTCCGAGATTTCTGGCCATGATCCAGATTTCAAGTACATTATAGCTTTAAATCGTTTAATGACTTGGTTTTTTTCCTTTTGAATTCAGAAAACCTTACTTTCCGCGACAACTTTGGGCGGGCGAAACCTAATGGGGTGCGAGAAAGAACAGCTGAGAGGGGAGAGGAGAGGGAGTCGGATGAAAACGCCAGCAGCTATGCAGAACGCCATAGGTGCTTAGCAGTTCTTTTCTTTTCGAGGGTCCCAGTATCTTTTGCGCTCTTTCTCCTGCTCCTCTCGTTCACAGTTGAACTTTAGTCTTGAAAAAACATGAGTGATTTGGGTTGTGAACTGCTTTATGGAATCATTGTTAAAACGACTAAGTTATTTCAAGAAATCTGTTGAACATTGTGTAGTCATTCCGGCTATAACCTGACTGGCCTCAAAATTCTTGGTTCAACTTCAAATGAGGGAATCGTGATTCTAGTTTTTAACCAGGCGAAACCCCTATTTTAGAAGTAAAATGCTGATCGGAACTGATGGACGCGAAAAGAAACAGCCCAAACTAGTCTCAAATCAATAACCAAATCGCCCAAAGTAAGTTTGTTTAACTCGCTTCGCCAACTCGGTACAGTCATAATTTCACTCACGCGGTCCAACTTGTATGCAATGCTAATGGCTGAATATTTTATGCGCGTTTTTGTGAAGGTGCCTTTTTCCTTCTTTTTCCTTACAATAGATTCTCACGAATGTTTGCGAGAAAATACAATAATAATTCAAATTTATTCACCCATGCGCAAATACGGCCAACATGATTTTTGAATTTTTTTTAACGGCATCGTGGTCAGGTGGTACTCTTCCACTGAATTATTGCGGATCGCTCGCATTCAGTTCAGTATGAAAACCGAGGAAATTCAAGCTGCCAGGATGACTTTATAAACAATTTAGAAGATCTCATCATGAACCACTGCTAAGTCTCACGAACTCACTGAAAATGTATCATGTGTCGATTCTGATCGTAAAGAGAGCTCGGAACCTCAAGACTATCCCTGCTTCTTGACCAACCGACGTGGCGATATTATTGAATTGGTTGACGACTTTTGGTATTAAAGTGGTAAGTAGAATCTATGATTTTATAGTTAAACGCCACGATATTTTTCACAACTCAAATGTTTTCAAAGTTTGTGAATATGCGCAGGAACATATATAGCTGTCTTTGCTGACGAGCCTAAGACTGTTCGATGAGCTGCTCGG